ATCCATGCAGTCGGCCCACCTGCAGGGGGCGCCCGCCCGGGCAGGCCAGCTGCTCCTCAGGACGCCCAGGCCTCCGCTGCCCAGACCCACTAGCCTGTTCACACCGCAGGGCTGACACATGCGTGGCTCCCTCCGTTCTGCGTCTTAGTCTTCCGTTTCTTTTTTTGGTTTTTTAAATGACAGAAATGGTCTTATTTTTCCACGTAACTGGGATTGTTGTTTTTAACCAGGTACTTGCGTTTGCGCGTGACGAAGGAACACTGCTCAGGTTACTTGCTTCATGTTTTCTGTAGTTTTTATGTTTACCAGTTTATGTCCTGTAACTACGTGTTTCGGATCTGCAGTATTTTAACACAACTGGAGTTTCAAATGAAACTGCAGATTTTGAGGGGGGTGATTTGCCCTAAACATCCTCTGCAGACTCAGAGTGCATTAGGTTTTAATAGGATTAAGTGAGTTTGTGTATTTCTTGATCCCTTTTATCTAGAGCCTGACCTCTGAAGGTAGAATGCAGGGAGGAGCTTTAAGGGTCTAACCTTTCTGAAATTATATCACAAATGCTCTGTGTTTCATGCTAAATGCCCACATGCGTGTGCACACACACCACACATATACACACGCACACAATTTTTTTCCCCTGAGAAGACATATAACCATTGACACTTAGAAGACAACATCTTTCTTTTATAAGCGAACTTGGAAGCAATAACCTTACGTTGCAGGGTTGAGAGGTTTGCCCCCTAATCCGAATGGCTCGTAACATAAATATTTAACAACAAAAATTGAAATAACTGAAAGTCTGGCATGAGCCACTCTCTTTTTCAGTCCTTAGCTCCAACACCCTGGATAAGCTGCTTTGATCATGTCTGTGTCAGGATCTTAACTTTTCCCCATTTTTCAGTCTGACTCTTCTATTTGAATGAAACGCTTCCCCCCGCTTAACTACCCTTCTCCTGTTTGCCTTCCAAACCCGGTTATGAGTTCTCGAATGTGATCAAGTTTTTCTTATCCACACTTGATATTTCTCTTATTCCAGTTTTTCCTTCAGGACCTGAAATTAAATTACATATGCTCCCATTTCATCAGAAAGGCTAGCTAATTTAAAACTTGGGTGTTATCTTTTCTCCACTTACGCAGGCAGTTTGGGAGTTGACCCTGGTGGGTCTCTAGAGTTGGGCGGCAGCCAGGGCTTCCTCCTGACTCCTGGGCTGATGTTCTACCAACACTGGGGTGTGAGATACGGTGTGTTACTGTTTTTACTTGGAAAAAGAATGTTAGACAATATCAGCAGTTCATTGTGTCTCTGGCATGATTAAATGGACCAACCAGTATCCAAGAATATTTTTAACTTGGCCTGTGTCTCCTTGTTGTATGGAATTGAACTTTAGCCCCCTGATGTTGAAGATTATTCAGGGACTGAGCAGCTATGGCTGTTGTCCTTTGGGGTGTTCTGCTGTAAGAGGGGGAGTCATACCTACCTCATAGGGTAGTTGTGAATTTTAAAGAAGTAAACTTTGGTAAAGTCTCTAGCACAGTGCTTGGCACATAGTAGGGTGTGTTAATTTCTTTCCCTTCCCTGCAGGCCATTCACCTGCTCTTCCCTCTACGATTTTCCATAACACAGTTTTTACTTGGAACCAGCCTTCTGCCAAGAGTCTCAGTTGGGTTGTGTACTCCTACAGCACTATTTTTGGCTTGACTTCCCTCTCCAGCTCCCAGTGGTCCAGCCACACAGTCGCCTATTGTACCAGCTGGTTGATGTAAGTCTATCCATCCTCAGAGGAACCTGGTTTCTTACCAGTAGGCTGTGTTTCTCTGAAAATGTAGCATCCTTGATAACTCATAGAATTTTTTTCTTTCCTTACCTTTGGTGGTGAATCCTAACTAGCAACTTCTTTGCACGATCCTCAAATTGGAACTAGGGTTAGAGAGTGTAACTCGGTACAGGTCTCCTAGGGAGTCCCTGAGTCTAGGCCATGCAGCTGATCAGGTAAAATGCTGTGGAGACACCTGAGGTCAAAATCCTTTTCAGTACTCGAGTGGTTTGAAAGTTGGTTATGTAAACTGTCAAGGATGATACATTTTCAAAGAAAAAAAAAATTACTGGTAAGTAACTGGGATTTTTGAGTACTTTTTTTCTCCTGTAAGTCATAAATAAGAATTCCCACACTTGTTTTCACCTACAAATGCCTTTGCATTTGAATATTATTTCATAAGTGAAAGGAATGTGGTTGATAGTTAAGGTTAATAGGTAAAAGAATGGGATCGATTTCTAGGGATACTTTCAAAGACAATGAGTTGGGTGTAGGCCTTCTGCTTTCTAAAAAGGTGCACTCAGCTTTCAAGAGAGATGGAGGTTGCGTTCTTCATCAGGGGACATCTGATGTGGCCTGTGATGTCAGAAACATTTTTTGAGTGCCTACTCGTTTGCTTTGAGACACTGTGCTGAGTGTGTTGACAGAGGTAGAGCCCCCCTCCTCCTCACTGCTGTGGCCCTCCGAAGAGAGCTAATTTCCACCCATCAGTGGCCCTGTGTAACTCAGTTGAGAGAGCCGGGTCATGGGATTATGGTGAGGCTGGGATTGGAGGCGGCCTTGGTGCCACAGGCTTTTCTGGCTTGGTTTCTGTGCTTCTGCAAGGCCTTCTGTTCCCAGGAAGAACTAGCTGACCTTGCTCAGTAGACTCGGAGCACTTCTGCATCTCTTGATGGAACAGGTGTCTAGCGGTTGATGGAATGTTCAGCTGCTTGACCTTCGTGTGACTTTGGATCGGGGTATTAAAACAGGCCAATGAGCAGGCTTGGAGGGGCAGCCTGCTCCCTACCTCCAAAACTTCAGAGGGGCCAGCACATAGATTTAGGACCCCCACCCCAGTACAAGAAAAAACCCCAAACTCCAGTTGTTTTACTAAAATGCAATTTATCTTTTACTTGAAATCACCGGGCGATGTGTAATCCTTTGTTCAGTATTGATGACGGTTCCTTGTCCCGAAGTTACCAATTCAGTAGAGGAAAGAAGACTTGGGAAGAAGAGGATGACGCGGGGGGAGTGCTGAGAACCCCACGCCTCCTGCGTTGGCATGCTCACTGGGCTTTTACCCACAGCCTCTCAGGGCAAGCACTTCAGCACCCTGATTAAGCTCCTGGTGTTGGAGTCGGTCTTGGGTCTTCATCCTGGGTGGGTGATTCACCCCACTGCCACTAGGCAGGTTAATATTCTGAACCTCAGTCTCCTCATGTGTGAAGGCCAAGGTGAGGACTATAAAACACTTAGCACAGTGCCTGCAACATAGTATGTGCTCAATAAATGTTCACTGCTGTTATTGTCGCATTGTTGAATGGATGGTTGAAGAACTGAATCAGGGGCCAAAGAGTGAAGCAGGGAGGGGTGCAGGCCCGGGAAGACTGGTTAAGAGGCCACAGCTTCCTAGTTGGTGGAGCCATGTGTTTTCTAGTGTTGTTATCTTTACCTTTGCCCTCTGCGAAAGCAGGTGAACGATTAGTCACTGTCACAGTTCCTCCTAAGTGCTCTGTCTTTACCCTCCAGTTCCACCAGGGAAGGAGCTGCTTCTGTGCCTCAGTGACTGACTGTTGTTGTCAGGTGGCCTCTGGCCTGGTGAAATGCAGGGCCAGGCATGGCCTTGATGCCAAAGATGTCCACTCTGATTTCACCAAATCGGTCCTGCTGTTTTTTAAGAACTCTTCAATAAAACTAAACATTTAGTAGTTATGTGTGTGTATGTATCTCATTTTTTGTTTCATTTTGCTGCCTCGATTGTGTTTCTTTTTGCTCTATATTCATTGATTTGTAGATTATGAATCTATGTCCAGGGTATTTTTGAGAAGGTGCTGGAGGCCTGATAATTAGGTAATGATACTTGTCAAGAAAAGCTGGATTCCTAGACAATGCAAAGTGCACAGGTTTTACCGTATTTCATAGAATCAAAGATGCAAAGATTTTAACACTTGAACATTTGAAATTGGCATGCATCTCAGAATTCCTGTGATCAGAAATGATTGTGTTATAGTTTAATTGCCAGCAGGGTTCTCCTAGTGATACAAGAGGTGATGATATATATGCCTTGACATCGACGTCTCATAGATTGCATGAAATACGGTTTTCAAGAGAATGCGTGCACTCGGCATTCCAGAAAGATGGTTTTATGACTAAGGTACCACTCTGTGGGGCAGAACAGGGACTCCAGAGGCAGACTTTGTGGGTTTAAACTCTAGCCCTGTCTAATGGCTGGCTCTGGCCAGCTGCTCATGCTTTCTCTCTCTTAGTTTCTTACCTGTAAAATGGACACTAAGAGTAGTACCCATCTTACAGTGTCGTAACGAGGACAAAATATGATAATGTGTTTAAAGTAGTGCCTAGATGTGGAAAGTGCTTAGGGGTAGCTTTGCTATAATTATTGGAGATTATAATCTTAGAGAATTGATTTGAATCTGTTTTGTTGTGATTGAAACTCAGATCTGTTACTCTTAATATTTGTGTACCATGATATCAGCAAATGACACTTGAATTTTTTTAAAAGGAAAGATAGAGATAAGAAAGGTTAATCTAACAAGTGTTCACATTCTTATTAAGTGAGGTTGAAGTAGCATATTTGGTATATATTATTATTCCACATGATTGAGATGTGAAAGGCATTAATTATTGAAATAGGAAATGCATAGTAAAAGCACGGAGCAGTTAATCTGGGATGAACTTTTAAATACTGTTTTTAATTGTTTTGATACCGGTAAGTATGGGAAGTTGAAGGTTTTGAAAATGTGCAAATTTGGAAGCTTTATTTTCTCCTTCAGTAAAAAGGAGAGAGGGAAAAAAAAAGAGGAGAGAGGGAAGAGAGTCCTTGCTGCAATGAACTTTGCAGTCTTAGGTGAATTTCCTCTTCAAGATGATTAGAGCAGGCAGCGCCCCTCTTTTTATATAACATGATAACTGTGACTTAAGGGGTCCTTTTATTCTTATGAGTCACTTTTATTTTGTCTTTTCTAGTGTTCGGTGACCAGTGATTTGGATTTTCCAACACAAGTCATCCCATTAAAGACTCTGAATGCGGTTGCTTCAGTCCCTATAATGTATTCTTGGTCTCCCCTGCAGCAGAATTTTATGGTAAGTAAATAATGTATCTTCTGCTTATTTGGTAATAATTTGCTTAAAAAAGCATAGGTTATTTTCTTGTCAAGGTGAATCAAGATACACTGTAAGTTAAAAAAGCTATCAAGGACCTCCCCGGTGGTGCAGCGGGTTGAGCGCAGCGCTGTGAAGCTGTCCACAGCCTCTGCAGCGTGGGTTTGATTCCTGGCCGGCCAGGGAGATACCCACATGGCGCGGCAGACCTCTCCCGCCTCGCCCATTGATCCCCTCAGCATTGTCTTCGGTCGGTCTGCCTGTTCTGCTCCCCACTCTGTCTCTGGTGAATCTTCTCATCCTCCCCTGCCTTTACCTCAGTTCTTGTATAAAAATAAATAAATCTTTAAAAAAAAAAAGAAAATTAATAAAAGCTCTCAAAATGTTAACAATGGGCTAACTGGTCAATACACAGCAGTACGTCTGCATTTCATGTCACTGACAGATTCTTGGAAATTGCTCCTTGAAGCATATAATGAAGCCGAATTTGACCTTCAATAATCGATGCAAGCAAGAGTTGGGTTCCTGTGGCATGTTTCTGGTCACAGGAGCATAACCAGGGGCGTAAATGGAGACCCACATACGTGTCATGTTCAGCACTAACTTGTATTTCTGCGTTCATTTTCCATCATGCTCGTTCTGGTTCAGGGGCCGGATGACAAGAGCCGGTCCCAGCAGCTCAGGGTGCGAGGAGGGGCCCACCCTGCACGGGATGCCCGCCGGCGCGGGTGGACAGGCAGGCTCCACGCACACGGAGGCCCTGAATAGCTTTCTTCGTTCTCCTACTAGTGTTTGAACAAAATGATGTCATCTATAGAGATTTAACCCTTTGCATGGTTGCTTTTCTCATGTTGTCTTTCTAATTGAGATATCTTCAATTGCAAGTGTTAAGCAAAAACCAACCTTAGGATTAAAAATAAATGTAAAAGAGTTCTTGTTATAAATCTTAAAGTATCCTGTCATCTCAGTCTGACTTTGAGGCTTTGTTAATTGAGAGCTTTTTGCTTACAGTGGTTTCAGGCAGCATGTTGTTAAATGATAAAACGAAGCCTGCACTCTTGTCTGCGGACAGCACCAGCCCAGTAGCTTCTGTCATGAGATGCTGTCAGTATTCAGTGCCTCTTCACAGAGGTAGGGTGGCGGAGGATGCGGTAAGATACACATACCATGAGCTACACCACCCCAGCCGTTTTGGAGGACACCACTCGGGGTAGTGAACTGTCATTGCCATCGGCTCCAGAGCGCCTTCCTCTAGTGAGCTGAACCTCTGTGCCCCCCGAACAACTCGCTCTTCACCCTCCCTGGCCCCTGGCAAACATGGTTATATTTTCTGTCTTTTTTTATATTCTAAATAGCTCATGTAAGTGGGAGCTCGTGGCATTTGTCTTTTTGTCACTGGTGTATTTCACTTAGCGGAACGTTCTCAAGGTGTGCGTTGTGGCCGGGTAACATGCCTGCGTGAGCGCAGCCAGCTGCTCATCCGTTTATTCCGGCAGTGGACACCTGGGCACTTTCCCCTTTCAGCTGCTGTGAATAATGCTGCTATGAACATGAATTTACAAGGGTTTCTTCTGGACCCTGTGTTCAGTACTTTTGAGTATTATCCAGAGGTAGAATCGCTAGATCATATAATTACTGTATTTTTAGTTTTTGAGGCCACAGCAGCTGTGCTGTTGACGCTGTCCCCCGTAGAGTGCACAGCCTCCTCCCAGTGCTGGTGGTTTTCTGGGTTCCTGTCCTAAGGGTAGCCGTCCTCACAGGTGAGAGGTGTAGCTAGTGATTTTGATTGGCACTTCCCTAATAATTAGTGATGTCAAGCTCTTTTCACCTTTACAGGCCATTCGAGTGTTGCCTTTGGAGAAGTATCTGTCTGAGTCGTTTGTCCAGTTTTGAGACAAGCTTGGTTTCTTGTTGTTGACTTTTAGAAATTCTCGGTATATATGTATATTAACCTCTTACCAGGTAAATGTTTCACAACAAAATTTCTTCCAGTATGTGGGTTGATTTTTCACTGATGATTTTCTTGATGCACAAAATGTTAAAAAAAATTGATACAATCCAGTTTGTCTTGTTTTTCCTTTTCTATGTCTGGTGCACCTCTAAGAGAGCAAAGCCAGACCAGTGGCATGAGGCTTGTATTGCATGCTTTCTTGTGAGAGTTTGGCTTCAGAGCTTACACTTAGCTCCTTCATTTTGAGTTAATCTTTATAAATGTCTAAGTGAAGGTCCAGCTTTATTTTCTTCACTGTGAATGTCCAGCTTTTCAAGCACCCGTTGTTTATGGTGCTGCCTGCTCATGGCGCCTCTGTCACAGGTCACCTGGCTGTCTGTGGAGGCCTCTCGTGGACCCTTGATTCCATCCCACTGCGGTTCTGGCTACTGTAGCTTTGCCGTTAGTTTCCAGAGCAGGAAGTGTGAGTCCCTCCCACTTTGTTCTTTCAAAATTGGTTTGACTTTGGGTCCCTTGGGATTCCATGTGCATTTTCGGATAGGTTTTTCTGTTTCTGCCTGAAGCAGCAGTGGGGTTTCGGGTAGGGAGGGTCTTGGGTAGTGCTCATGTGGTGCCAGCCAGCACGGTAGGTCTCCGGGGCAGGAGTGTGAGATGTGCTTCCACCCCCAGGTTGTCTTTGTTTTTTGTAGTTTTCATTGTACAAGTGTTTCACCTGGTTTGTAAGTCTAATTCCTAAGTATTTTATTTTATTTTTTTTTAAAGATTTATTTATTTATGCATATAAGAGCTGGGGTACATGCCAGAGATGCGGGGGGGGGGGGGAGAGGATTCACCAGAGAGACAGTGGGGAACAGAACAGGCAGACTGAAATACACTGCTGAGGGGAGCGGCGGGAAGACAGGAGAGGTTTGCTCGCCATGTGGGACCCTCACTGGCCGGCCGGGATCGAATCCGCGCTGCAGAGGCTGCGGATAGCTTCGTAGTGCGGCGCTCAACCTCCTGTGCCACCAGGGAGGCCTGTATTTTATTCTTTTTGATGCTACTGTAAATAGCGTTACTTTCGTAATTTCCTTTTCATTTTTTTTAAAGATTATTTATGCATACAAGAGCTGGGGTACAGGCCAGAGATGCAGGGGGTGAGAGGATTCACCAGAGACAGAGTGGGGAGCAGAACAGGCAGACTGACTGAAATACACTGCTGAGGGGAGCAGCGGGCGAGTCAGGAGAGGTCTGCTTCGCCATGTGGATTTTTTGCTCTGGCTGGCTGGGCATTGAACTTGTGCTGCAGAGGCTGCGGATTGTTTCATAGTGTGGTGCTTAACGCCTTGCGCTGCCAGGGAGACCCCGTAATTTCCTTTTCAGATTGTTCATTGTGTGCAGAAATGCAGTTGGCTTTTGTGTGTGCACTTTGCATCCTGCCACTTTGCGCGTTCATTTAGGAGTTTGGCAGTATTTCTGCAGTCTTTAGGGGTTTTGACACCACAGGTCGTATTGTCCAGTGTGATAGTTTCTTTCTGTCCTATTGGATGCTTTTTGCTTCCCTTTCTTACCTAGTTGCTCTGGCTAGAGCTCCTAGGCCTAGGTTGAATGAAAGTGGTGAATGAGAGAGATTACTCTTGCCTTGTTCATAGCAGGAAAGCTGTCAATCTTCCTATTGAACTTGATGTTCACTGTTGAATGTTTCATTTTATTCCTAGTCCATTCAGTGTTTTTGTCAAGAAAGGGTATTGGATTTTGTCACATGATTTTCCTGCATCAACTGAGATAATCATGTGGGTGTTTTTCCCTTTGTCCTGACTGTGTTGTGTGTTTACTCTTCTGATCAGTTTTCACATGTCGAACCATCCCTGCTTTTCCAGAATGATTTCCATTTGGTCATGGTGTATAATTCAGTTTAATATGCTTCCAATTTCTGTTCCCAAGTATTTTATGTGATTTTTACATCACCGTCTATAAGGGATATTGGCTTGTAGTTTTCTTTTTGTGTCTTTGGCTTCAGAATATTGCTGTCTTCATAGAATGAGTCAGGAAATGTTTCCTCTTCAGTGTTCTAGAAAAGCTTCTTGTTCCTTTGTCTTCAGACCTTGCTGTAGGCTGCTGGGCATTGGCTCCACATGCATTTCAGTGCTGTCAGTGTTGAGGTAGTTTGGTATTGTGGAGTGTTCTTAATTTATGCATGAGAGCACATCATTTTTTATATAAACTTTAGTGGTTCCTTGATACTGTTTTATATCCTCAGAATTTTATTATGTTGACTGTTTCTTAATTACTAGATTATCAAATGTGGTCAAGGTATTCCTTACTTAGGCTAGGTTTTTTTTGGAGGGGGGCACCTGATGATGTTTATAGTTGATTCTCATAAGCAGTAATGCTTTGATTCTGAGATTTTAACATCTGAAATAAAAATGTGTTCAGATTGAATGTGGGTCAAATTGTAATTTGCTGCATTTTTCCCTTTCTTAGAGGCACATAAAAGAACGGGAGACTTGAATAGTTGACAACATGTTAGGTGAATCACATGCGATGTTTTTTGTTACATTCCCCACCCCCTACCCCCCACCAGTTTGTTTTCTCAGGTGTGCTCGTTGGCGAGGAGGGACCTTCTATTTCTTGGAGCTTTTCGTTTGCCGTCTGTAATTTCAGATGCGGAGAAGAGGTGGTAGCAGGGGAAAGATGAACCGTCTAAGAAAAACATTGTATTTTAGTTATTTTGATTAAAAATATTTTTATTAGGATAAGCTTTTTAATGTATGTATGTACTTTCACTTTTAGGTAGAAGATGAAACTGTTTTACATAACATTCCTTATATGGGAGACGAGGTTTTAGACCAAGATGGGACTTTCATTGAAGAACTAATAAAAAATTACGATGGAAAGGTGCACGGGGATAGAGGTGAGCCTTACGTGTATTTTCTTAGAAAGGGGGGCCAAAAAGTTGAGAGATACTTTGATCTTCTAAGCATAGGGCATGAAAAAGTAACAAGGTTACATTTTGTGTTGTACTGGCTTGGGTTTAAAGGACTAAAATTTTCAGTGTTTCCACTATCTTTGAGTTGAAAGATCATGATTGCACTAGATATTTATATGGTTGTTTAAAACAAGAATATTGTCAGTGCCATCTCCGTTAAATACAATTTTCTTAATTTTGGGGTAGATGCAGATTTTATTAGTCAAGTAAGTGGGACTCGGGCTTGCATAGGCCCTCTGCTGACTAAGCAGCACCGAACTTTGGCCATTAGAATGTGGCTGCTGCCTCCTGTGCCAGGGACACTGTGTTGGGAGGGGCAGCCGTGTGTTGTCACCACCAGCTGTTGCTGACTGGGAAGCAGGTCCTTCAGATTCATGGTTTGGGAGGAGGCAGAGGCCCCAGGGAGCTTCAAGAGGACCGGGTTATCGTACCAGGCCTGGAAGCTTTGGAGGGTGGGGGGGTGGTGCAAGAAGGTGAAGGTTTTGCAGCTAGATTTTGCTTCCTGGCTTTGTCTCAGGCCAGCCTACTCTCCCCCCACTGTAACGCTGTTGTCTTAATGCTGACTGGCAGGCTCTGACCGGCCCAGATTTGAAAAGCTCATGTAAACAAACCTTCCACTTTCCTCTGTGTGCTTTTATTTGATTTGCCAGAATGTGGGTTTATAAATGACGAGATTTTTGTGGAGTTGGTGAACGCGCTGGGCCAGTACAATGACGACGATGATGACGACGAGGTGGATGACCCTGAGGAGCGAGAAGACAAGCAGAAGGACCTGGAGGACAGCCGTGACGGTGTGTCTGGGCTCTGGCCCGCCCGGAGCTTTGGACGTTTTCCCAGAAACAGTCAATACAAGTAGATCTTGATTCTGTCTTTCTCTGTTTTTTTTTCCGTTGTTAAATATCACATGCATTATAGTATAATCAAAATTAGAATATGATTTGTAACATTTTAATCTCTACGTGAGCATCTTGATTTCCTTGGGTTGGCAGAAGAGCAGTCTGCGTTTTGGGTGTCTGGTGGGGGGGGGGTGTCATCACCATGTGCTGCACACGCCCCGTCTGGCCGGCCCCAGCTGGCTGCTGTAGGTCCACTTACTCCTCCTCACTCCGCTCCTTGCGCAAGGTGGTGTCTCCTTGGGTCTGTTTTCTAGTTGAGATGGGGGTGCAAAGGTGCAGTACTATTGCAGGCCAACTGTTGGGGCGAAAAAGAACCCAGAACACCTTGGGGATGACGAGGCCTGAGTGATACCCACTCAGCCCAGCACTGGCTGTGGCTTCCTAGGAAAACAGTGGATCCCAAGATCCCAAGCTCGCAGAGGCTGGGCTCAACTGGTTACTAACCAGTATAGAAGAGTTTGGAGGAAGTTTCAATTTCAAAGAAGCGTAACATTGTTATCACAGGCAGGCACCCTAGAGATCATTTGGTTCAGCTCTTTATGCAGGTAAAGAAGCAGACCTGGTTGGGGCAGCGCCAGCCCCTGGCACAAAGCCAGGGAGCAGCAGAGCTGCAGTTAGAACCTAAGTTTCCCGCCTCCTGGTGCACTGAAAACGTTCTGTTGCTCAGTTTGAATTCTAAGCTTGACCTACCAGCATTCCCCAGGCACATGTAAAATCCATTTGAAGTAGGTGAACCACAAAATGGATGATTTCTTAGAAAATCAGCCTTGCTTAGATGCAGTTTGGAGAAGAAAACGAGAGATCGAAAGCTTGTTAACTTTGCTTCTGTTTTTCCCTTTCGTATTTCCCTGTGTAGATAAAGAAAGCCGGCCACCTCGAAAATTTCCTTCAGATAAAATTTTTGAAGCCATTTCCTCGATGTTTCCAGATAAGGGCACAGCAGAAGAACTAAAAGAAAAGTAAGACTTTGCTTGGCACGCACGGGACTCGGGGGTTTATGGACAGGCAAGCCTGGTCCTGCCCCGCCCTGCCCCGCAGCGTGTGCGGGCTCCCGTCACTGGAGGGAGCGCGCGTGCGCGCGCACACACAGACACACACACACACAGAAAATTTGTAGACACTTGTAGAAATATTAGTGTAGTTGATGTTTATTTAAAATGAAAATGCTAGCTTTGCTGTGATCTGAATCGCATCTTTGGATTTGATCATTGCTGTGAATGCATCGTGTTTAACAGGCCGGTCTCAGGCAGGGTGAACATCAAACAGAAAACCTCCCAGAAACCACGTCCAGAAAAGTGCCTTTCGGCTTACCTTTACTGTGTTTTATTGCTTTGCTCAGGTACAAGGAGCTCACTGAGCAGCAGCTCCCAGGCGCGCTCCCCCCCGAGTGCACCCCGAACATCGACGGGCCCAACGCCAAGTCCGTGCAGCGGGAGCAGAGCCTGCACTCGTTCCACACGCTCTTCTGCCGGCGCTGCTTCAAGTATGATTGCTTCCTGCACCGTAAGTGCCACCTTGCTGGGGGCACCGCCCCGACTTGCCGCGACGGGGGTGGGGGGAGCACGGGGTTAGCAGGCTCTGACTTCCTGGCTTGTTGCTGGCCAAGCGGCTGCTTTACAGTGACTCGTTACTGTGCACCTGCTGAGGGCCGGGCAGCGCTGCCCATACTGATGACCAAGTGTGTCAGCTGAGGAGTTGGCTGGAAAGATGATTGTTGATATAAATTTCTACCTGTAGGGTTGTTGGAAAAGTCATGACCTATTTTTTCTGTTTTTCAAGCAAGAAGTGTGTCATGACTTTTTTGAGAGCCCAGTATTTAGTGTTCAATTTACTTTGTTTCGGTTCTTTTTAAAAATCTATCTCAAGTTATTTCGATATAACTAAACTACTAAAATTCCACATACATGCGTCACCTTTTCCTTTTAAAAATCCCTGCACTTGAATGCAGGTAAGCGTAAACTTAACGAAGTGTCCGTGATCATATATGGAGTATTTTTCTGATGTTTGTTGGGAAATGAGGTGTTTTAGTAAATATTCTAGGTAACAAATTTCTTTAAGCATAATTTGAAAGTACACTTCTGTTACTTTTGAGGCACATATTTTGAACAATACGTTCAAATGTGTGAATGTTTCTTACCTCCCAGTTCTGTAAGCCGAGTTCCCCTGACCCAAGCCAGCCTCTCGCATTACATGGACGGGCGGCCGCCTGGCGCGGTGGCACCCTTGGGGCCTGTTCCCCTGGGTGAGTTGTTTCCCTGTAAAACGCCCCAATGGCCTTGCCTTTTTGTGTCTTGTGCCACCTTTTACAGAATCTTCCCCTCCGAGTCCCTGGCACCTCTTACTTAATAAGCCCCCTGAGCAGCCGTGTCACCTCACTGAGTCGTCGCTCCATCTCCTTCCATCAGCCGCGGCTCATGCCTGGTTTGCCGGCTGATGAGTGTTTGGTCTGGAAATAGCAGTGTGCACGTGAGATTTCACGAGATGTCGTAAGTGGACTTGTCAGTGTTGTCTTCACACAGCCCTGAAGAACAGTCCTCTTGAATGAATTCTGCTTTATACACTGTCATTTCATAAAATACCTCTAACTTTTATTAAGACCATGGTAAATTGCATTCAGTGATCACTATAACAAAAAAAAAAGGTGGAAACTCTACTTTGGAGTCAGTGAAATAACCTTTTTAATTGGTCATATAGATGAAACCCTTAATGTACCTTTTTTGTTGTACAAATGAACCAAAGAAGTAGAACACACTTAAAATATCTTTTAAATCGATGGACAATGGACGGGCAGTGTCGGTGCTGCTGCGTCTGTGTAGACTGTGAAGCACGAGTGGTACTCACTGTGCGTGTCACCAGTGTCCCATTGTGCTGTTCGGGTTTGAGTACATTTTAGGCTTCATTTCTTACCTCTAGCCCTTTCCATTTGGAGTTATCCTGATAGCAGTGTGGTTCCAGCCCCCTCCCCCGTTTCCAGATCCCTCAGGGTGCCTAGGTGCCTGGGTGCGCGCAGGCCGGGCTGCACGCCCTTTCTCGGGCTGCATTCCGGGGCCTGCACTTTACGTCCTCTTGAATTTTCTGAAGTTCTCTTGCCGAGTCCCGTCAGCGGTGGCGATGTTCGCTGGGGTCTCGGGGGCGGCCCCCCGTTCTGGTTCCGGGGCAGTTGGAGCGGCTCCTTTTCCTCCTTGAGCCACAAGGACTGGGCCTTGGTCAAGCCCTCGCCCCAGGGAAGGAACAACAGTTCTGTCCGCTTTGCTGACTCTTGTTTATACACTTGGTTTTCCTAAAGAATTGAAGGCTGGAACTTTGCTAAGAGAAACCTCCTAGTCAGTCCTGTGTTGTTTAACTAAATGCAATGTGAAATTAAGAATACTTGGGTTTGGGCCTCCCTGGTGGCGCAAGGGGTTAAGCACTGCACTAGGAAGCAATCCGCAGCCTCTGCAGCGTGAGTTCGATCCCCGGCCGGCCAGGGAGTGACCCACATGGTGCAGCAGACCTCTCCCATCTCGCCCGCTGCTCCCCTCAGCAGTGTGCTTCGTCAGTCTGCCTGCTCTGCTCCCTGCTCTGTCTCTGGTGAATCTTCTCACCCCCCTCATCAGTGGCTTGTATCCCAGTTCTTATATGCGTAAATAAATAAATCTTTAAAAAAAAAATACTTTGCTTTTTACAGCACTGCTACTATGTAAATTTTCTACTGTAGCTTGAACTTGTTCTTGGCTCATCTTAGACTGTGTAATTGTGGCTTCTGATGAGTCTCCCCTAGCTAGTTCTGATTAAGGGGCGTGTTCTAGCTCGGGACTGGCAGGGGCCGTGTGCACGCGCAGACACATGCACTTTTTGTCTTCTCTGAATTTGGTGAGACTGTCAATCTGTAGGTACAGTCTGTGGTGTATATAGTTTAGGGGCCCGTCTGAGCCACCCACACTGTCTTTGGGAGCTCTGGCTGCGAAGAGCTTGCTGCCGGTGGGTGGCCGCACCGCACGTGAGGCCTTCCCTGGGCACCCCGGCCACCGCCGAGCACACGTTCTGGGGAAACGAGACACTCGGAGCAGAATCTGAGCCTTGAATTCCTGCTTTAAAAACACAATCAGTTTGACCGTTTCCTCCCTTTTTCTGTCTTCATTTTCTCTCCAAGGTGTCTGGCTTTTTACAAATATTTAGAAAATGATTTTGTTTCATGAATATGACACTTGTTTTTATGCAAATCGAAACCACCTTCAGGCGTTTATGAGGAGGCCCCGAAAGAGCGCTCTGCGGGGGCCAGTTTCCTGCCTCCCCGGGGTCTCTGGCCTGCGCACCCTTGTCTTGTCCTCACTTGCGGCCTCCTCTTATCACATTGTTTGGGAATTTTAAATTTCAAATGCTTTCTCTTTTTTAAAACCTTTTATTGGTGTTTTTTCTGTGAGAAGGTGCGGACTCTACAAGTTCTCACGAGATTTCTGACTTGTGTATGATTCAAAGAAATGGAATTTCAGTGTCCTGCGGCTGTCAACTTTATCTTAAAATACTAATCTTCAACAAGGGGTGCCCCAGTTCTCTCCCCATTTGACAAGCTGATTGCCAGCCTTCTTTAGAAATCAAGACATCGTCTTAAAAATGAAGAAGTAGGAAGTCTGATTTCATTATAGCACCAGCATCAATTGTTTTTCTATGGTGATTAAATACTCAAATATTTATAATCAGAGTTTCGAGGTTACGTGCATCGATTTTGTTTGCAAGGAGACAAATTACATATTGCTAAAGATGGCAGGGTTTGCAGTTTCTCTGATGGGGGCTGGTGGGCGGCATAGTGCTGCAACATGGGCAGGGGGGAAGGTCCTGGAAGGTGGGGACTTCTGCCCTGAGCATGCTCATTACCTTTTCCATGGGGTGGCAGACAGTGGGATGGATAGCAAATATTTCATGTTGTATTTGGCTACTTTATGTTTCATTTATTTTGCAGCTTTCCACGCCACACCCAACACTTACAAGCGGAAGAACACAGAGACAGCTCTGGACAACAAGCCTTGTGGGCCACAGTGTTACCAGCACTTGGTAAGCGTGTGCTGAGAGCCAGAGGGTGTGCAGGGCTTGGCTGCACTTGGGAGGTCTATGAAGTGAGCGTCTGCGGCTGGGCCCTGCTGTGGGCCGTGTAGTAAGAGTCCCCTGCTGCAGCCCCCAGCCTGTGCCCTGCGCGGGCCCGTGCTGCTGTCCGACGGCTCCGCTCTGCCGTCTCTTAGCAGTGCGCAGTCTTTAGGACCAGGCGCCAGCCTCGGACCAGGCGTGGTCTGGAGCGAGGCACAGGTGGCCCCCAGAGCCGGAGGCTCTCAGTCCTGGGGGTTAGTAGCTGGCGGCCGCTGGGCCCGGCGAGTTGCAGACCAGAGTTGCCGCGGCTGTATTATCACAAGCCACAGGGTTTTCTAATGTTCTGGAGAAAAGGTAAGGGGTTAGGAAAATAGGAAGTAGGAAGTCTGTTCTTTCATGGGTACTATCTTATTTTTACCATTTCCCCTCTTTGAACCAAGCCACTCCCACCTAGGAACTAAATGGGTAGATATTGCCCGTTGGATTTTGGACAGAAGATTCATTGAATGGCACCTGCAGAAGGTATCTTATTTTTAAGCAGTTTGGTTTTTGTAGAATGAAGTATAAACTGTTGGCTGCTCTCAACTTCTCCCTTCTATCGCCACTTAAAAAAATAGAATTAAGCACTGTTTTGTAATATTCTTTACATGGCAGAATTTTATTTGGCACATGTAAATATCTCCGTAACCCATGTCCTTGCCGACGTTACATGCTTTGAGTCTGGATGATCATACCTTGTGATGCAGAATGTAGCCCTCCAGCCTCACTCCCAGCGCGCCTTTCGTGTCTTCCTGGGGGCGCTGTGTGCGTCCCGGGCGAAGCTGGCTGTGTTAGTAGTGAGGAAGGAGGGGACTGTGTCCGGCATGCTAGTTTTGGTTTCTTTCCGTGCACTTCACTTATGACCGTGGAGGGGGTGAGGGGGAGTCTGCCTGGACACGCGCGCTAGGCAAATGAGTCTTTTTGTAAAAGTTCTCTTCAAATAGATCACGTTACAGAAAACAGTCTCGACGCTAGTTTGCTAATGACAATCACTATTTAGGGTTCTCAAGCAGAGCTGCCTTGCTGTGCCTGGTTTGGCACCGTTTGAGCCCTGTGTGGAACTCAGAGTTACCTTCCTAAAGTTTTCAGACCATCAGAAGCATGTTGAGAACGAGTAATCTCTCTGCAAGGGGCTGTCTGTGATAGAGGGGCGTTTCTGAACATGTTCTTGAGTGACCTGCCTTACTGCCATGCTTTTGTTTTCCTCCCTCCATCAAGATGAGTCTTGGCATTTGACCTCGATGTCTACGTTTCTCACTTTGCAGGAGGGAGCGAAGGAGTTTGCTGCCGCCCTGACGGCCGAGCGGATCAAGACCCCACCAAAGCGCCCCGGGGGCCGTAGGAGAGGGCGGCTCCCCAACAACAGCAGCCGCCCCAGCACCCCCACCATCAACGTGCTGGAGTCGAAGGACACGGACAGTGACAGGGAGGCTGGGGCTGAGACGGGGGGCGAGAACAACGACAAAGAGGAAGAGGAGAAGAAAGACGAAACCTCCAGTTCTTCTGGTGAGCCAGACCTGGGGCTGCGCCTGGCGGTCGGCAGCTGTGCGGTGGGGGGCTGGGGGGCCCGGAGTAGCTCTGGTGGTTGATGAGCTTCCACTGGAATGAGAGCCCCGGAGCAGGGGATTTCTCACGGGTGCGGCCCTGCACCCTGTTGCTGTCTCTGCTCCCAGCCTGACTGGCCAGCGCTCTGTGCCCGCCCGGGTTGTTTGAAGCTGGCGGTCCTGTCCATTCTCTCCCGTGTCACCGTGGCCGTCCTGCTTTCCCAGGCAGGGCCTGACGAGGTTGCGCCGATGCGGCCGGCTCGCCCTCAGGCCCCGGGAGAGGTCGGGGAGGAGAGGACAGGACAGGACAGGACAGGACAGGACAGCTGCCGGCCACGAGCGCCGTCCTGGTGGGGGTCTCAGTGGGCCTGCAGCCCGAGAGTGAGCTTAGCCCCGTCGGCTTTTGCCGGGGGAGACTGTTGAGGGGAGAACAGCTCCGGGTATCCACGGGGGAGACGTCACCCGTGTTTCTAGCCTCGGTGTCGTCTAAGTGTGGTTCCTGTCCTGCCTCCTGAGGCACACGCTGGGGTTTACTTGATGCCGGCCTCCCATTTGCCTCTCAGCCGCTGCTTACCTTTGGTTTTGTAGAAGCGAATTCTCGGTGTCAAACACCCATAAAGATGAAGCCAAATATTGAGCCTCCCGAGAATGTGGAGTGGAGCGGCGCCGAGGCCTCCATGTTCAGGGTGCTCATCGGCACCTACTATGACAACTTCTGCGCCATCGCTAGGCTAATTGGGACCAAAACATGTAGACAGGTAAGCCGGCTGGTAGTGCCAGAGAGAGCTCGGGGAGAGGGCCCGTGTGCAGCCCGGGCTGGGGACTGAGCTCCTGGCTACCTCCTGGGACACTGCCCGCCGAGAGGCCTGAGGGAACGCCCTCCTGTCATGCCGCAGTTTCCCCAGGTTAGGTGTGAAGGTGGCAGTGCCTTCAAGAAGCCGGCAGGGGTGCGGATCTGTGACTCTGGCTCTGAATGTGACCCAGTGCACTGCCCTGCAAGGGGCCGGCGAGGCAGCGGTGGTCTGGCTTCCTGCCATGGCCCCAGCACGTAGACGCTCCCTGGAGACCTGCGGCGGTTCTGGGGGCAAGGAACGTCAGGCCAGTTTTCGTGAACCAGGGGCTCACGGGTCTGTGCTCTCGTCAGGTGTATGAATTTCGAGTCAAAGAGTCTAGTATCATCGCCCCAGCCCCCGCCGAGGATGTGGACACCCCTCCTCGGAAGAAGAAGAGGAAACACAGGTGAGTCTGCCCGCCGGGCCTCAGGGAGGGCTGCGGGGCGCTTCCTGGGGGCAGCTGTGGGCGACCCCTGGCAGCTGCTGGCATTTTTTGTGCACTGACCTCACTGTTAGGAGCCGGGGCAGCGGACGGGGGCTCCGCCATGGCCCGGCAGACTTGCCTCAGACGACGGTGCGAGCGCGTGTCTTTAATCAACTCAGGATCAGCGTGCTTTAGGAAGGAGACAGCTTGGGAAATGTCCCCACGGGAGTCCAGGCTTTCGTAGTAGGTGTTGCTAAATTTTCAGTGGGATTTATTTCTGATCACGTAGCTCAGCGGAGTGGCGGCAGATGCCCGAGCTGAGAGAGTAGAAGCCACATGAGAACACGCAGCCGGGTGCGCCCCCCCCCACCCCCGCCGGGGTGCGGTGCTCGTCCTCCTGCTCCCTGGGAAGCCTTACCTTGTTCTCTCTGCTCTTGCAGGTTGTGGGCTGCGCACTGCAGGAAAATACAGCTGAAGAAGGGTGAGCAGCGTTCCCTTCAGCGTCATTAGTCACTTAAAAATGTCGACTTCTCGTTCGTTTTGAGTAGCGACTGCGTTAGTCTGGGAGATTCTGGCGTAACGGACGTCTGTGCACCAGGCCAGCTCGGCGGAGGTCCGGGGGCGCCCTGGCAGCCCGTGCCTGCGGCGTGGAGGCCGGTGGGGCGCCAGCGCGCACCCTGGCCGGGGGTGGTTCTGCCCATCCTGGAGCCGGGCCTAGGGCTGTAGCAAGGCGCCCGCTCCGCTCCCTGGGGAGAGCGGCTCCTTGGCCGTGGGTGACTGACCTGCACGCTGTTGTCTTTCCAGACGGCTCCTCCAACCACGTTTACAACTATCAGCCCTGTGACCATCCGCGGCAGCCTTGCGATAGCTCCTGCCCTTGTGTGATCGCACAAAATTTTTGCGAAAAGTTTTGTCAGTGTAGTTCAGAATGTAAGTGTTGCTTCGTGCTGCTGCATGGGAATTGCGAGTAGTCATTTCAGTCACCAGAGAAGGCGGCCGCGTCCCAGTGTCCTTGAGGAACCCCACTGACCCTGCCAGGACCCAGAGCCCCACAGCCCAAGCGTCCTAGGGCTTAGGCGTCTCTGGCCGAGGGAGCGCAGCGGGCAGGTCAGGCCGCAGAGGCCACAGAAGGAGCGCTCCGGTACTTGGTGGGCGCCAGAGATGGCGTCCGAGGTAGGTGGTGTACTCTGCGGAGTCGAGGAATGTGAGCGGGGATCCCAGAAGTGTCTGCGCCTGTGGACGAGAACGTGGGTATTATGAGCCCCGCCCCCTCCACACCTGTTTCGTGTAGAGCTGTCATGCCCTTGAAACCTGGAGCTGGGCTGGCCTCTGCTGCGGGAGGCCCCTCAGCCCCGTGCTTGCTCCTGCTGTTCTGCGAGTTTTTCTGTGGTGGTGGTGGTGGTGATGAAGAACGTCTCTCTCAAGGTCAGAACCGCTTTCCCGGATGCCGGTGCAAAGCCCAGTGCAACACCAAGCAGTGCCCATGCTACCTGGCTGTCCGAGAGTGCGACCCTGACCTCTGTCTCACCTGCGGGGCTGCTGACCACTGGGATAGTAAAAATGTGTCCTGCAAGAACTGCAGCATCCAGCGGGGCTCCAAAAAGGTAGGTGGGGCGCCTCCAGGGGATCCTGTCAGTGCCAGGGCGGTCTCAGGCCAGTCAGCTGAGACCCTGAGGCACCGCCCCGCCCTGCGCATCACCCTGCCCCCCGCCCCCGCCCCCAGAGCACTGTACTTGGCACGAGAGGAGCCCTTAGTAGTACCACATTTGGAGTAAGCAGCATTTGCCTAGTTCCGCAACAGATGGAATTTCTTTGTACGTTTAGTCGTCAGAACTAGTACATTTAGGGCCTCCCCGGTGGTGCAGCGGGTGGAGCGCAGTGCTGTGCAGCTCTCTGCAGCGCAGGTTTTATTCCCAGCAGGCCAGCCAGGGAGCTACCCACATGGCGTGGCAGACCTCTCCTGTCACCCTGCTGCTCCCTCAGCAGTGTGTGTCAGTAGCTCCACCTGTTCTGCTCCCCACTCAGTCTGTGGTGAATCCTCACCCCCCTCCCCTCTGGCCTGCACCCCAGCTCTTGTATAAAAATAAATCTTTAAAAAAAAAAAAAGAATAGTAAACTTCCCTGGTGTCCCTGGTGCCGAGTGCAGCAGCACTCCCGTCCCGGGCAGGGCTGTCCTCGTCGGCCAGGCTCTAGGTTCCTTGGGGTGTAGCGTGAGGTTCCCATGGAGGCTTTGCCGTCTCCGTTCCTGTTTCTTTAATCACCTTGAAAACAACCAGCCAGAGTTACAGAGCAGCAGCCTGGGAACCAGAGGCAGGTGGCTTGTGTGGTCAGGAATTTTACTCCTGTATCTTATTTTTCAGGGTAAATGATGTGTTTCTTCTCCCCTAATCACCTTTGTAACAGTAAAAGCCAACATGGTACATACATACAGAGCTATATGTAGTTTCGTACATACATACCAGGCGCTGAACGCAGTCCTTCGCTCTCAGGTGTTAGGAATAATTAACCCCATTTTATAGGTAAGGAAACGCCAAGTTCAAAGACTTAAGGAGGGCCTCCCCGGGGGCGCAGCGGTTGAGCGCGGGGTTGCGAAGCTGCCCGCAGCCTCTGCGGCGCCGGTTCGATCCCCGGCTGCTCCCCGGCCACCGGAGGAGGGTCCCGCATGGCGCGCAGACCTCTCCTGCCGCCCGCTGCTCCCCTCAGCAGTGTCCTTCGGTCCTTCTGCCTGCTCTGCTCCCCGCTCTGGCTCTGGTGAATTCTCTCACCCTCCCGCGCCTCTGACTGTACCCAGTGCTTGTATAAATAAATCAATCTTATAAAAAAAAAAAAAAGACTTAAAAGGAGCAGAAATTCAAGTTCGGACCTTCTGCCCCAGACCAGCCCCAGGCGCTGTGGTATCTTGAGATCACGCCATTGGCCAGAGGATACAGGCCCTTTGTGCTAGAAAATCTGGGGGTGGGGCTGATCTGCTCACCCCAACAGCCTTGCAGTGGCTTCTGTGACGGCATCGGACCCCAGGCGGTTAATGTCCACTCAGGCCCTCAGGTCGCCGTGGTGGTAGTGCCCCCGGCACATCGTTCCAACCAAAAAATCTCACCATTTCTCAACCACGCCATCCTTACTGTAGTGCGAGAAACTCCCTCTGTTCACAAAGTGGGTAATTCTGCTCATGCTGACGTGTGCGCCTCCAGAAACCCTTTGATCCCTACAACAGAAAAGATAACTGATGTTTTTCTATCACTGGGTTTTATCTACTTAGCAGTACTCTGTTCACATGCCGCTCAGGGAGGGAGCTGGGAACGCACCGGACGGTGCCGAGGCGGGGCTGGAATGGCCTGGGCCATCAGGGACACGTCTTGAAAGGAAATGTACAATGAAAGCAGAATAATGCGCCAGCAAAGGTCGTCGTACTGGCTGAGGCCTGCGTGCTGGCCCACAGGCCCCTGCCACCTCCTGGCGGCCGCGTGCTCTGGGGAGGGAGGAAGCAGCTGGGGCGAGACGTGGGGCCTGGGGAGCAGCAGAGGCCCCTGGAGAGCCGGAAGGGCCGTGGCTGGACTTGAAGGAGCAAGGGGTCGGGGTCCCGGGGAGCGGACTTGGTCTCCTGTGTCACATTCAAGGTGAACGTGGGTGCGGAACTCACGTTGCCGACGTGCAGCGGCGGTCAGCCCTGGGCCGTGCCCTCAGCGCGGGCGCACCTCGGCCTTCCTCCCCGCGGCCTTCATTCTGCTGTAGAGCAGGTCTGGGGGTTTGCAGTGACCAGCCGTGGTTGAGCTGCCACCCGCCCACTCTTGCTCTCCTTGTTTGACTGTGATTCTGCTTCGTTCTCTAGCATTTGCTGTTGGCACCGTCCGACGTGGCGGGCTGGGGCATCTTCATCAAAGACCCTGTGCAGAAGAACGAGTTCATCTCCGAGTACTGCGGTGAGGTGAGGCCTGGTCCAGCTCCGCGGGGGTGACGCACCCCTCCCGGGGCTGGGTTTGCGCAGATCCGTTGGGTTCGATGAACTTGGACTTGGCTCCCGCAGGTGGGTTTGGTCTAAAGCGTCTGTGTCAGTCCCGGTCAGTTTTTGCCACAGCGGACCCTGGGGAGAACATCACAGTCTCTCCTCCTTGATCCTTGGCCCGATGCACGAGGACGCAGCAACTGGGGCCTGCTGACGACTTTCCGAGCAGTGACTTGGGTGTGGAAATTCCTGAGTCGAAACTGAACGGGACCGAGTGAAGTGCCACACCGCCCCCGGCCGGGCGTCTTGGGGGTGGCCCGGAAGTCCAGAGGCGACCGGGCCTGGTCGTCACCTCCAAAACGGCCTGTGCCCTGTCTTTTCAGATCATTTCCCAAGATGAGGCAGACAGGAGAGGGAAAGTGTACGATAAATACATGTGCAGCTTCCTCTTCAACTTGAATAACGGTAGGTCTCTGCGGCCGAGGGCGTCTGGGTTGCCGTTGGGCGCCTTCCCCTCCGTGTCCGCGCCGGCCCCCGTCCCGGCAGGCGGGTGCGTGCCAGGGGCGTGAGTGTCGCGCGCGCTCGGCTGGCCTCGGACCGGAGAAGGGCAGGGCGCCGCTGTGCTCTGGGGGGGCGCGCGGGGGTGACGGCGTCAGGCCCGAGCTGCCCATGAACATGGGGACAAAGTTCCAAGTGTGAAAGCAGCATTTGGATCCCACCCTCCGCGGCGTGTGCTCGGGAGGCAGGGCTTCCGCGCTCCCTGGTCTACGCACCTCCGAAGGCAAAGCCGAGGGTTCCGGAATGATGACCGCTTCGTCGTTGGATCTACCACCAGAGTTGTTCACTGGCTTGTGCTATTTTTTCCTCTTTAGATTTTGTGGTGGACGCAACCCGCAAGGGCAATAAAATCCGTTTTGCGAATCATTCGGTGAATCCGAACTGCTATGCAAAAGGTGAGCGTCTCAGCAGCCCGGTCACCCCCGCCGACACCGCTGGGATGGGGGGCGGCGGGGGGCTGCCCGTCCCTGACGCCTGTCTCTTTCCAGTCATGATGGTCAACGGCGACCACAGGATAGGGATTTTTGCGAAGAGGGCCATCCAGACTGGCGAAGAGCTCTTCTTCGATTACAGGTTGGTGGCGGGCGCCGGGGCGTAGCCGTAGCCAAGTACACATCCTTGAAAATGCCACGAGAAAGCCCCCGTTTCCTCCTGCAGGCGGTGGGCCCTGATGGCGTGTGCCTGGCCCTGGGCTCGCCTTCTGGAGCGGACGGTCTCGCGCTCACAGGGGCAGCCTCAGCGGCGCGGCAGGGCAGGGCAGGCCCGTCCCGCCGGCCACGCTGCGCCTGTGTCCCCCGCCCCATTCGGAAACTCCCGAGCGCGGAGTTGCTTGAACCAGGGCCCGTGGTGGAGGGCAGAGCCTGTGACCCCAGGCGGGGCGCCAGGGGTGGGGGTGCCTTCTGCTCGCCACAGCCTGGTTCTTTCAGCTGCTGCTCTTGGCCCTGGCCACCGGGGCCTGAGTCGCTGCACTTCTGGAGCCAGGCCCGAGCGTCCCCGCCGCGTTGGCGCCCTGCGGGCCGGAGGCGCTCACGGCTTTCTCGTGTCCTTCCAGATACAGCCAGGCGGATGCCCTCAAGTACGTGGGCATCGAACGAGAAATGGAAATTCCTTGACCTCTGCTACCTCCTCCCCCTCCTCCTCCACGGAACAGCTGCCTTAGCTTCAGGAACCTCGAGTACTGTGGGCGATCTGGAAACAGAAAATACAGTTTGGAATTCTGAATTTGCGAAGTACTGTAAGAATAATTTATAGTGATGAGTTTAAAAAATCAACTTTTTATTGCCTTCTCACCAGCTGCAAAGTGTTTTGTACCAGTGAATTTTTGCAATAATGCAGTGTGGTACATTTTTCAACTTTGAATAAAGATACTTGAACTTCTCGTGGGGTGTGTTTCCTGCAGCTGCGCCGGCTGAGAAAACGCCTCTGATCCCTCTAGTTCCGCGGGGACGCGGGCACGGGGTCGTTGCGGGGAGTCACCCCCGGGGCACGCACCCAGCGCAGGGGGTCAGGCGGTGGGGAAGTAGCGGCGCTGCGGGGGTGGGGGCCTGCACACCCCACCGTGCTTACCCCGAACGGTCCAGCCCCGGAGCAGGAGAGACGTTTTCCTCACGTGCAAATGAAACCTCGGGGACACACGCCGGCCGCACCAGCCACGTTTCCCGCCACAGCGGCCCCAGGGCAGCCGGCCACTGTAAGCGGCGGGAAGAACACACACGTGGAGCCGAACACGCTACGGGGTCACCAGTGAGAGCAGGAAAAGGCAGAAAAATGACCCCAAAACCGGGGTGGGGGGGCGTGCGGCAGCCTCCGGACGGACGGGCGCCGCCAGCACCGCAGGGGGCCTGGGGCGGCTCCCGAGAGGAGCCCTGGCGGCCAGAGCACCGGGAGGACACGGAACCGCGGCCCCGCCCCAGGCAGACACGAACGTCACCGGACCAGATGACGCGACGCGAAGCCCAGAGTCGGACGGAAACCGCGAGAGTAAAGTCAGAAATAAGGGAACGAGACGGCGGAAGGGCCGCGAGACCAGTTAGCAGCTGCTTCGAGCAAAACCAAAGCCGGCAAACCCGATTACCCTCGCGGAGGAGGAGGAGAGCGGGCACGAGGGGGCCCGGCTCTGCTGCGGGGACGGCCCAGAAGACACGCACCCCTTCCTCGGCGCGCGCCCCTCTGGGCCCGGCTCGCGAGACATCAGCCCCAGACCAGGAGCCGAGCCGCGCTCAGGGCCGGCCACACGGACGAGCATCTAGGGCCGGGGCGGCAGGCGTCCCCGTGGGGGCTACCCGACGCCCGTAGCTGAAGGGGGGGCGCGTCTCGGCTCCCCAGGTCAGCAGGGCTGACGCGCAGTCCGGACAAGGGCGCCGCGAGAGGCCGCCTCAGGCCCGCGTCTCCGAGCACAGCTGCATGACCGGGCCGCGGGCGTCAGCAGCGCAAGGTAGACGCTCACGCAGCACGACGGGTTTGTGAGGGGGGCTGAGTGGGGGGCCGCGTGTCAATCCCGTTCTCCATGCAGAAGGTGACAGCCGGGGGAGGCGGGTTTTAGGCACCTGCGCGGCTCGGGCGCCGTCTAGAAGCTCCAACACGAAACAAAGACCAGGAAACACCGCAGTGCGAGTGGCTTCCTCACCGGCCTGTTGTGCCGGCTTCCCGGCAGCCCTGCACAGCTGCAGTCAGGCCGCAGCGCGGGGTCCTCGTTGCCTTTAGGACGCGTGCGTGACAGAACGTGGGACTCGCCGGAGCAAATACGCGCGGTGCGTGAGCCCAGCGACGCGTGTCCTGTGCTGCTGCCACGGCCACAAGCCCACCGGCCGTCACGCTGGCCACGGCATCGCCCCGCCGCCTCCAGCCACCCCGCATGGTGCCACCACGGCAGCAGCTGCCCGAGCCTGCCCTGCCCTGACGCGGGCCTGCTCAGCGCTTGCCCGCCGCCCCCCATCCTACCCGCTGGGGGCTCCTCGCAGCTGTGGCCTTTCCACCCTAACAGCCACCCCGGCCGCGTGATGGGAGCGCTGCTCGCTTGCGGGGCCGCACCCAGGAGACCCGAGAAGGGCTGGGGCGCCCTTCACAGCAGCTGCGGCTGGATCTCAAGCGCCTCCGCACTTGGCCAGGCCCTGACCAGACCAGGAGGGCGTCCCTCGCTGGCCTCGTGGTGAGGAAAGACAGCGCCCGCACCGGTTTTCAAACACCCTGGAACAAAGATGAATTTGGGGAAAAACTAGGTTTAGGAACTGGTGTCCCTCGTGGTGTGTGTGCACAGCACACACGCGCGCACATGGGTGTGAACAGGGTCACGGAGTTAAGGATCTTACCAGGGTGGAGACGCTTCATCCAGACGGCTGGGGGGAGCCGTTGTCGAGGAGGCGGAGGAGAGCCTGACCGGGCCGCCTGGCCGGCCGCCTGCGGGCCCCTCCCAAGCCTTTTCTCCTCTCAGAGGTCACAGGCCCCGGCCGGAAGCCGGCAGGCCACGCACAGCACCCACCCCCAGCGAGCTCGCAGGCAAACTGGGAGGCACCGCGAGGTGACACTGTCCTGCCTGTCCGGGTTCTCTCCAGTATTTGGTGATTTACTGAAAAATCCAGCTGCCTCAGCTTTCCTGTTCCCCGACGCAGTCCTTCTCGCGCCTTCACCCAGCCCCTCCGCCGACGCACAGCCCCGGGCCTCCCGGTCTCCAGCGGCCTCCGCCAGCCAACACCGCCAGCTACGAAGGGTCATTTAGACGGTGGCCGGGCCGCCAGGGCCTGATGTCCACCCCATCGGAACACGACTCAAAGCTCCTAGTGTCCCCTGAAGGGCCCGTGAGCTCCGGGCGCACTGAACTAGCTGCTTTACTCCTTCGGGCCTCTTAGAAGCCGTCCCGGGAGGGTCACGCATCGCCTGGCGCAGGGCATCTAACACGTGCCGCGCGCTGAAGGCCTCCCGAACCCCGGGCAGGTCAAAAAGGGCCCGGTCCACACTCACCTGTTGAGTCCACCTGCCCTGGCAGGCGCGTGGCTGTGAAGGTAACATCAAGTTAACTGTCACGTCACTGGGATTTCTAGAATGATCTTCAGAATTTTCCTCTGGTAACACCTAAACTTTGTAAAAGTAGAAGAGGTCCGTCAGCTTGACAGGCTCAGTGACGTCCCGTGAAACTCCAGGGGCCCCTTGGTCCTCTATCTCCTGCTCCCCTGTGCCCGTTCCCCGGGCCTGCAGGTTCTCAGGCTGCTGCTGACCAGCAAGTGGACAGCAGAGTCCAGCCCGGGGACACCTGCTCCTTCAGCTGCGGGGGGTGTGAGGGGGGATTCCTCCCAGGACTGTGCTCGGGTACCCCTGAGCAGCTTAGGGAGGTGACATCACCCTGAAAACACCTTCCTCACAGGACACCTCTACCTCCGAGGGCAGGGGGTGTGCAGGCCCTGCGCCACCCCCACTGGGCTAGGGCAGTTGGGGGAGAACGGGGGCCTCCACGGGGAACAGGACCTTCGCCGGAGGGGCGAGGCAGGCCCACAGGACTGAACTGAGGCGGTGGGGTGCCCGTCCCAGCCCACCCGGCCCCTGGGCCTCCACTCCCTGGCACTCACCTCAGGCACTTCTGACCCTGGAGGGCCTGGAAACACCGGCGAGAGCTCTCACGGACACGCCCCGCGGACGCCCCGCCAGCAGGCAGGAGCCGCGGCTGCTGTGCAGCTTCTGGGCGCAGAGGTGGCAAGTCGGGCGTGAGGACCTAGTGTCCCCTGAAGGGCCTGTGAGCGCCGGGCGCACTGAACTAGCTGCTTTACTCCTCCGGGCCTCTCGGAAGCCGTCCCGGGAGGCTTCTAATTCCCCTCCTGCTGCTTCCTGCTTCGTACGCCGAGTTGCTCACGGGAGGGCTGCCCCGAAGCCCTTGGCTCAGTGACACCACTGGCCCCTGCACTCGCCCGGAAGGCGGCGTCCACAGCGCAGCCGCCCGCTGCACTGCTCCGTCTGCTTCACCGCTACTTCTAAAATGTCCTGGGTATCCGCGAGGAGGCGGCTCTGGCCTCTTCCTCGTCCACTCTCTTCGCGTCGCGTTGGGTGTCGCCTGGCCCACGTCCCGGGGGCCGCATCAAGCAGGCAGCTGCGGGCGAGGGGGGCTCCACGTGGCTCCCGCCGTCCGCCGCCGGGGAAGGGACCGCAGGGGTCTTAGCGAGAAACGAGGCCGGCCTGGCTCGGGGCGCCGCGGACACCGGAGTGGACGGCAGGCTGCGGCTGCGGCTGGCGCGCGTGGCCGTTGCGTCTCTGCCTTCCTGGGGCCGATGGGGTGACGGGGCCACTCGGCAGACAGGAACCACGCGCGGGCCTGAGGGGGGGGCCCCGGTGTGCAGCACGACCGACGGCGTCTCAGGAACCAGCCCCGGTGTTGGGAGAAAATGAATTACAAACATCACACGGGCTTGCAATTTGAAGATGCTAAAGATGCCTACAGAATGCAGCCTTTTCCACTACAGGAAGACACTGGGAATATAAATTTGCACAATCATTATAGCTTTTATTTACATATAGAAATTAGTAAACCTTGAAACAAAAGCAAATGCGACTTGTACAGAAATCCTTTAATTTTCTTTATTTTCACACATTAAAAAATGAAACACACTATACAAATGGTTTTCCATAGCAGGTTACACGTGGGTCCAGTCAGACTTGCTCTCCAAGGGCTGCAGGCGGCGCCCGGCGGCCGGGGGGGAGATGCGGGGCGGGCGCCCTCCCCGGGTCAGGCTCGATGGCGTCGGCGTCCATATTTACAGACTTGAAATGTGTCAATCCTGAGCGGTTCTGATGTGCGCCTGAGACCGGCGGGGGGGAGCCGGGGTCTCGGTCTTGAACAGGGAGTCCCGACGGGGCAGGCTGGCTGCTGCGGACGTGGCGGTCTCCGCTCCTCCGCCGGGTACCGGGCGCTGCGGGTCGGACGGCGAGACCCTCCCCGGAGGCTAAGCCAAGTAGCTGTAGGTGTCCTTCTCGCCGTCGACGCGCTCCAAGTACTCCTTCTCGATCAGAATGTCGATGCATTTCTGGGGGGTGTTTTTTAGAAACGGAGCAGTAGTGAAAGGGGGAGCAAAACACGTTTATCATCAGACCAGGAACCGGCCACCCTCGTGTGGGTCCCGCCCACGACAGCCCGGGGTGGGGGGCAGCAAGCTCGCCCCCAAGGTGAAGCCTGCAGCGTCTCTTCCTCATCTTCCTCGAGGGTGACACGAGTCCTCCAGAGCTGGCCCGGAGCCGTGGCCTCCCACACCGGAACAGGGTAGGGGCTGCCGAAGCCCTTTGGGCCAGACTCCCCCTTAATGAGCACATCACTAGCAGGAAGCGGGGTGGCTTCCTGGAACAAACTGGCTCGTGGCCAGATACAGGCCAGGCGCCATGCCCCCACCTCAGGACCGCCTCCACCCACGCGTGCCTCCTCCCGCCCTGAACAGCCCACGGGTGATACCCGAAACCGAGCACGCCAGGGGACCCGCTGGGTGACCCTGGGCCTCCGCTGTGAACACCAGAACCACCGACACAGGCCCGGTGGAGGGGGCGCTGGAGCGGGGGGGGGCTCGGCCAGGGTCCAGCCCGGCGGGGGGCCGGCTCTGCAGCGGGCTCCCATCCGCGCGTCTCTGGATCGTGTCAGCACAAAGCTGAGGCCTCAAGCCTCCTCTGCAGACATCCACGCGCGCGATACGCTCCTTCCCACGAAACAGCGACCAGGCCCTCTCGTTACGGCTTCTCTACCCGCCAGTGCAGGCCTGCGCCCCACCCCCTGTACCTTGATGACGGGGACCCGCGGCTTGAACCTCGAGGACAGCTGCGTGAGGACCTCGCCAAGGAGCTGCTGGTGTTTGAGGACCTTCCGCATTTTCATAATCCTCACAATCGCCGCCTGGAAACCAAGTCAGGAAAGCAGGTGCGTTAAGCGTGACACCACCCGTCCTGACCGAAGGCCGCCGAGGCACCACCCGTGCCCACGCGGTGACGTCCCAGCAGGTAACGAACAGCTGATGCCACGCGCTGAGGTCTTAGGGACAAGCGAACGCCTGAGCCCAGCCACAGGCATTAAGACAACAGCGAACAGCAGCTCTGGACGGCCCGCCCAGGCCGCCGCCTGCCCGCTTCATTGGCCGCTTCTCTTTGCTTCCCAACACTTCTCTGCCGGTGCGGCCCAGCCCCTCCGCGCCCCGCGCCCACCGCGGGCACCTGGATCAGCAGCTTGCGGTCCTCCTCGATGTTCTTGTGCGTGGTCTCCTGCTCCTGCTTCTGTTCGGTCTTCATCGGCACGTTGATGTTGACCCTTAACTTCTTACTGTCAAGGAAACGGCGGACACGCGTCACCCCTGGTCTACAAGGCAGGCAGGCGTCGCGTCTCTGGGGAGTGCCTGGCACCCCCGTGGGGGCGCCCGTGCCGACCCGCCTCCCGCTGCGGTGTCACCACCACCCACCACCTCCTCTGCGAAGGAAAACGCCCCCGACCCCAACGCCAGGGGCTCCTCCCGGGCGGCCCCGAGCCGGGTATCTGGGCCCCGGGAGACTCAGCCCCTCCGCCGGCCCCCCACCCCGCGCCTCACCAGGTGAAATGCAGCCAGAGACCAGACTCTCTGGGTGAGTCATTTAAGGGTTTTCTTTATTTTCCAAATAAAGAACCCAAAAGCCAGTCAAATGGAGAAGCACGCAGGCTCGGGGGAAGGGAAGGTCTACGCCAGACCCCTGAGCCGGCCGGGGCAGCCCCCCGGGGCCCCAGCTCCCACCTGCAGCCAGACCAGGGGCTGAGGGTGAGAACCACCTGCTCAGCAGATTCTCCTTACTTTTTATAACCGAGATATAATTTTATTAAGGTATCTGGCTTCAGTTCCACTTCATCGACATTCGCGTTTTCATCCTCCAAGACCTGCAGGGAACAAGTGTCACCGCGCTGCAGCTCGGGGAGCGGCTCCCCCGCGGAACGTGAGAAGGGCGCGAACGTACCAGTAACTTCGACTTCAGCAGAATCTGCAGGACTTGCGCCAAGATGTCCTGCAACGGAGGGAAGAGACGGTCGGGGGAGGCAGTTCTCCCTCCGGAGGAAGCAGCAGCCACACAGGCAGCTCCGCAGCCCACTTTTCCACCCAAAACCACAGCCCCTCAGACAGAAGACACACCCGAAGGGGAGAGAGGCGCTCCCGAGAACGCCCCCAAACTCACGACCTCTCTGAACCCACTTCTGAAAGGGAAATCACCCCTTTCTGCGCTGCCCCCCAGGAGAAAAGCTGCTGGCTCCGTTACGCGTGAATCCCGGAACCACGCCGCTGCCCCAACCACACGGACGAGGCCTCCGCGTCCCGAGCTCATCCCGGACACTGGCCGCTGCAGACGGTCTCCGGCGGCTCTGCCCGCCCTCCCCGTGCCCTCGGCGCCTCCTGTCCTGATCCCAGGGAGCAGGAGGGCACCGCCGCGGCCCCCGTGCCCGGGGGCCTCGCTTACTACCCCCCCCCCAAGGACTTCACTCCGGTCAGGGAGTGCACGTTAAAGCTGCTGGAGTGAGATGCCTCTGCCGGGGAGCCAGCCTGGAGAGCCGCTGGTCACGTGGAGGGCAGGCGTGACGAAGGCGTCCCTTCAGGAGCCAATGCCGACGAGCGATGTCCAAGGCAGGGGCGAGCGCGGCCACTCCCACAGAAGGCTCCACGCCAGGCCTTGGAGGGACAGGCCAGCGTCCTGACTGGACAGCCAAGCCCAGGTGGGCCAGATGGACCTGCCCCTCTGGTCAGGGGCTGAAAGGCAGCGCCTCCCCGGGCGCGGGGCAAGCGAAGCCCCCACCCTAACTCAGCCTCCGCCCTCGACAGGAGCGAGGGATGAGGAAGGACTGACACACAGGGGGGCAGAAACTCATGTTGTTACTAGAACTCGAAAGTAAGTTGGAGAACGATTTAAAAATGCGTGGCTTTTCTAATTCACATTCTGCAAGGTCAGTGTCATACCCTGAAATCACATCCAGACAAGAAAATTGTCCACAAAACACAAGCAAGCCAAGCCCAGCAGCACACAGCAGGTGCTGACAGACAGCATGACCGGGCAGGTTTATTCCGAGAAGGCGATGGTGGGTTAGCCCAACTGCGCAGCCGGCGTGACAACACGTTAACACACGCACACAGCTGCCTCAGCAGAGCAGGAGAAGCACTCTGGCAAAATCCAATTCCTTTTCATGACCAAACCACTCGACAAAGCAGAAACGGAAGGGTATCTTTTCTCACTAGTAAAGGGCGGCCAGGGAGCCACAGCCAACCGTGAAAAACGGATCCTCATCATTTCTATTGGACATTGTACCAGAAATTCTATCCGGAGCAATCAGGCAAGAAAGAGGAAGAAAAGGGATCCGACCCAGTAAGAAAGGGAGGGTGAAACTCTATTTGCAGATGACAAGACTGAACGACGACTCGCCCTAGAGAATTCACCCAGAATGTATCAGGATAAATGCGTTCAGCAAGGCTGCAGGGTCCAAGAGGAAGAGAATAACCAGTTGTATTTCTCGAACACCAGCAATGGACACGCCGTTTCCTCTGCAGCAGCACCAGATACAACACAACGCTGACCAAAGGCGTCTGAGACTTGCACGCTAGAAGCTATGACGGACGTAACTGAAGTTGTCCAAGTTGGAACTTTCAAATTAAGGGCAACCCAAATCAATGGGGAGACGTCGCACGTCCATGAGTAAGAGGACTTCGTAGCGCAGGCTGTCCACACCCCCGCCCCCATGCAATCCTTACCACCGTCCCAGCTGCCGCTTCTGCTAACCCCGGACCTTGCGCGCAAAGGCGAGGGGGCAGACGCCAGCGCGCTCCTCAAAGCGGGCAGCGCTGGAGGCCTCCGCTCCAAAACTCAGTACCAACAACAGCAAAAAACAGAACGTGGCAGGACAAAGCCAAGGATCAGGATGAAGACACAGATGGGTGGGAAACCGGGGAATCCAGAAACAGTCGCCCTCCGGAGGGGTCCTGACCGCGACGGGGCTGCCCGGACCCTCCGCAGGGCGAGAACGTCTGGCCCTGGAGAGACCGCGGCCCTGAGATACCGACGGCAGACGCGCAAGCAACACCAGGAAAAATAAAAGCGGACGTCATCAAAATCAAGACAGGAAGTGCAGAGAGAGCCCGCGGGCTGGAAGGAGCGGGCGGCCGGCGCCCAGCAAGGTGCTGCTGCGCAGAACACGCGGGCGGGCGCTGTGGGATGGCGGCTTTTATGTGTTATGAAATACAGCGCCGTGAAAAGTGCCTAAACACTTAAGCACAAGCAACAAAATGAAAAATAAGCTGGGACTACATGAAACCAAAAAGCTTTCGGCAAACACAAGAGGTGGCCGAGGAAAGAGGAAGGCCCGCGCGCGCACGCCTGACGCGGGGCGGTGGACTACTGCGGCAGCTCAGGACTCAAACAGCAAAACCCCCCCAATCATCCAATAAAAAATGGGCAAAACCCACCCAAACCAAGGAAAAAACCTCAATAGACTTTTCTTCCAGAGAAGACACCCAGGGGCTAACAGGCAGGGAGGGTGCTGACGTCCCCGGTCGCCAGCCAGCACCCAACGGGCACCAGCGCAGCTCACGCGTCAGGACGAGGGCTGGGGGGTGTGTGGTGCCCCGACAACTTCCTTAAGACGCTGACGAGCCCATGGGCGCGCTCGCGCGGGGAATGTGCCCAGGGGGACACACCGCGCCTGATGGCACAGGTGGCCGAGGGCCTGGGCTCCGCGAGGCAGGTCAGTCGGAGACGCCGCCAGCCCCGCTCACGCACAGACTCAACAGAGCCAGATGCACCAACGGCTCAAAGGTGGGGTCCCCAGGGTGGGGGGTCGTCAGGAAGTACAGATGGGCAGCCCCGCACCGACGGCCGCTCAGACAGATGGCCAGGCCCACCCACAGGGGGAGACCGTGGCATGAGAGGACGCTGTGAGCGGGTTCCCAGCGTCCACGGCAAAGATCCGACGGGCTCCATCAAATGCTCCACAAACCGGAGACGTGAAGTGAGACTGAAGCTGCGCATTAGGAAAAGCTCTGCTGGAGGGAGCCGAGGACGGGCCAAACACAGGAGGGACGCCCGTCGCGTGCCCAGTAGGGGCAGCTTTGTGACGAACACAGAAGGAAACCTCCGTGCAGGAGCACACTCTCAGGCCGAGCACACAGCCCACCCCCCTCGCCGCCGCCTGCACCCAGGGCGCGGCAGGTACCATTTTGATCTGGGTGCTGTCGGTCAGCTGCTGCACGGCGTACGCGTCCTCTGTGTTGTACTGCAGCAGGATGGCCATCTGGAACGTGGACGCCTTCGGGGTTCCCCAATGAAAGAAAAAGGAGAGTTAAATGTGCGGAAAACTCCAGAAACACAGCCCACGTCTGAAGGCCTTGTTTACACAACTAACTCTTCAGACAGACGCCAAACATAAAGGCCAGTTCAAAGGGAGTCGTGCCGAAGGCACAGCCGCCACGCTTCCCGCCTGCTGAAGCCAGCGACTGCACTTCCGTCTAAGGCGTCCCGTCCCTGTGATACACACCACACACACGCGCGCCCTCTGGCCCACAGAGAAAGGCAAGCCACCAGCCACAGATTTGTTTTTGCACAAACGTGGAAGAAAACTGCCTCTGGTCGCACCGTTGACCTCAGGTGACCGGCACATGGGCTGCGCCCGTGTCCTGAAACGGATGTCCATGGGGTCTCCTGATAGCACCCTCTCCACAACCCAGAACCCCCCGCTCCCCCCACACGCCTTGGCAAGTCGCTCTGTGAGAGGAGCCAGGCATCCATGGCACCTTTCATTTAATTTTCACACTTCCTGCGCGTGAGCGCCGACAGAGGACCCGGCGCCTGATACTCAGGTGTACCCTAAGGTCTGGGCCACGGAGGAGGAGGATTCAGCCGCTGCCCCCAACTCTGGGCCAAGGCCTGCTGCCGCCTTCTGCATCACGGGACGGGGGTCTCTCGCCTGTCTTCACTTCACTTAGACTTAAAAAACACCCAAACCAAGAGGGCTCTTACCTGCAGAGTGTATCTGTTCTTGAAGCAGTTTGTTACCAGTTCTCCCTTAGACAGCTGATACAGCCACGTCAGCTTTCTGCCGCTGTGACGACTGGCATAAAAAGCTGTGAACCGCTGGTAACTACGCTCCAGCTGGACGGAAGGAGAGTGGGATTATGTGGAGGGTTTACCTCGTCTTACTCCACAGCCGGCATCTCTAACCGAAGCGCACTGCTCGGGGTTTATGGCACAAACCAGCCCGACACAGGCCAGCGCCGGCGGCCGGCGCTCCCGTGAGCCCACTGCGCGGAGACGCACCGTCCCCACAGGCCATGCTTCAAGACAAGGACGTCAAGATTCACCACAGGTCGAGGCCCCCACCCCGACCGTGAACAGCATGCAAATGACGTGCTCTGTGGAGGTGGCCCAGAGGCAGCCAGTCCTTGGCCCCCGCTGTCCCCTCCCCGCGTGGGCGCCCCTGCTGCCCCGGGGAAACTCCGCAGACCGGGCTGGAGGTGCGTGTGCCAGTCCCCAGCACTAGCCCAGCAGGAGGCGGCTCACCTCGGACGGCAGGGCGAAGGTGCAGGACTGCTGGAAGGGCCACGACCCCGAGCTCAGCACCTGGATGCTGAAGTCCACTGTGGGTGGAAATTAAGGGCACACTCAGCGTCTCCCACGGCGGGGCCAACGCTGCCGTCTGAGGCGAGCGGCTTTGCATTAACACACACTTAGTGAAGACCCCACCCCAATATAAAGCTACTAACAGAACGCATTTAATTTCATTTTAGCCAATCAAAAATAGTAAAAGGTGTGAGTCAGAGATTCTTTTGTTCTAAAGAGTTTTTCATTTTACGTCTAACTCAAAACTCTGACATCAACGGCCTCTCTTGCTTCATCTTCCTTAGTTACCTGCTGTGAGTAACCTCTGGTCACTCAAGGCCCACTGAGCTCGCCAAGCCCAGGGCCACCAGTGCCCTCAACAAAACTTGAGCCACGGGACCCCAGAGGTGATGGCTCACGGCAGGTGTCTGTGCAGCACGTACACTGCGAGCGCACACTGTGTGTGACAGACACGCATGGTGACCATGGACCACAGTCCTTCATCACTAATGCTGACAACCGCCCACTGACTCAACTGTCAAGTTAAATATGGAAGTTCCTTAATTGTGGAAAAATGAAACTCCCATTTTTCATAAAAAAAAACAGGACTCCATCTGATCACACAGCGTAACCCTCCCCCCCACTGGGGGGTGACAGGCTTACGAGGGGAGCCAGCAGGGGCCTGGCCACGCCCCACACCATGCGGAAGCCACAAAGGCTGCGGCGGGATTGTTCCTGACGCCGCCAAACCGGCTTCCACAATTAAAAAAAACGTAGAAATGATCCCAAGGATAGTTTGGGAAACAAAACAAAACACGGACAACCGCATGTGGTGCCCAGGCTGGCAGAGGGCCCGGCTATGTGGCCCTGGCTACAAGCAGGACCCAGGCGCAGCCCAACTGCAGCCACTCGCACAGATGTGCTTGGCACCAGCCCGACCGCACGCCCTGGCGTCATGGCCGTCTGTCCCGGCAGCGTGTCCACCAGTCTGATGTGACACCTGTCACCCCTCATCCGGGCTGGGGGGCAGGGCTCCGAGCTGGGTTACTCACGGTCCAGGGGTTCCGAGTTCGTCAGGTGCTTTTTGAACTGCTCATTCAAATCTTTGCTGACACCAATATCTTGGAACATCCGCTGGAGCTTGGAGGTGTACTCGAAGCCACAGGCTTGCTGAAAGGAAGCAGACAGCGCCATTACCTTCTGCAGAAACATGCATGGACATAGGGAACCTTAGGGTGGCAGCGCGACAGGAGCTTAATTTTATGTAACTATCACTAAGGCTGGAGACACACTTTTACAAGTAATGCACCTATAAACTGAAGAGTTAAGTCTTTAAATACAGACGACTACCACTCAAGCATCTGCGGGTGAGGACTCCTGACACCGGCTGCAGTCGAAGACGACACCATTTGTTCCTTATTCACTCTGGTGGACTGAGTGCCTCTGTGCTCCCTGAGACCCACTGCTGCAGCCCTAGTCCCCAGGATGACGCGGGGCCGGCCGGCACCCAGACCCTGGAGCTGTGCGCACATGCCTGCTGTTTGAGCCTCCCCATCTGTGTGTTTTTGTCACGATAGCCCAAGCTGAAGAAGACACCCACGTCACTACAATTTCAGGGCAGGAGACATGCTCTGTGACACACACAGGCCAGCAGCTCACAGGGCAGTGACTGCAACAGAGGCTGGACACACACTCAACAGCAAGCAGCGCTGAAGCTTTTTCCCCCAGACACAAGGTCATCAACAGTTAGCTAAGCCCAGAGCAGCACCAGACACCCACTCATCCCGAAGCCAGCAGAAGGGGGGCCTCCCTGGTGGTGCAGGGGTTAAAGACAGCGCTCTTAAGCTATCCCCAGCCACTGAGGCTTGAGTTTGATCCCCGGCCAGGGAGCTACCCACAGGGCGCAGCAGACCTCTCCTGTCTCTCCACTGCTCCCCTCAGCAGTGTACTTCGGTCGATCTGCCTGTTCTGTTCCCCACTCTGTCTCTGGTGAATCCTCTCACCCTCTGCACCTCTGGCCTGCACCCCGGCTCTTGTATGCATCAATAAATCTTGGCGGGGGGGAAAGGTGAGCAGGCCCAGGGGCCCCAATGTGGGCAGGGGCTGGAACGCCTGTGAGAATGGACCTGGGACGGCCCATCAGGTCACACCAGGGAGACTTTCCCAGCTGGGACAGAGCTTGGTGTGCAAACTCGTTATCTACTGACGACACGTGGCCCGGAGAAACCAAGAACCTAATGGGGACTTAACAAGCGGAAGGTCTCAAGGAAAGATGAAACCTACCTTCAGCTTGGAGATCATGCTTGCCTCAGCGTCGTCGCTCGCACTGTTCTGATGCACGAGCCTCTTGGCCAGCATCTTGGCGTAGAACTTCTGAAACACGTCTTTGTCCTCTATGTACTTGAAGACAACCATCTAGCAGAGCCACCAAGAGAGCAACTTAGTACCTCACAGCCTCGGTGCCCGGCACGCGGCACGCACACGGCAAGGACACCGCCCCGGGTCTTCACAGACACCATTATCTTCAACCCCTTGAGCCATGCTAAGGTGGTCTAGAATTAGCACGTATGAGGGGAGGACAGATGCTAAAATAAGGCCTGAACACAGGGAGTAAAATCACAGCTTCCAAGTTATCTGACTGACTCAGTTTCTATTCACATTTCCGCCACCCTGCACAATAACCTTAGAACAACCGGAAGACACATGGTCACTGGAAATGGAGGTGATTATTAGGCCTCTTACCACTTGATTGAGCGTATCTTCTAGTTCTGCTTCTTCTGGGTTCTTGGAGCTGAAAAATTTAAGAGAGGACAGTGTTTTAAAACAAATCATTAAATATCACAGGTATCACCTCAGCCAGACTCACTGAAACGACCAGCTCTCTTCAGCTGAGCATGTGGGGAAAGGGAAGGGTTGACTTTCTTCACCTACAGAGACCCGCAGGCTCACACTATGGCTCCACCAGGAGGTAACAGGTTATGAAGCAATGACGTACAATATTCAAGGTGAAAATCAACAGAAGATACTTGTGAAAAGGTCCTTCCAATTGTGGAATTTTCATTTAAGACAGTCAATTTAAACATGTAAATGAGCTTCATTTTAGAAATTGCTTTCTATAATGCTTTGCTTTTCGGGGCACTTTTAAGATATGCTTTAGCTTTAAAAAATTAGAAAGGCGTGGTTTCTTTTCAATGGCCTCATCACGAAAGGCAATGAAGGGTTTAACCACTGCTAAGGGTTGCATTCTGTCTGCGGCTGTCTGTCCGGACGTGACGTGTTCATTCAGTCCCGTGAACCAGTACTGACTGGAAGGCCAGTTTAGGGCAAATGCATTTTCTAAGGTTTTGCTACAAGAGTCCTTCCTAAGAAAGACCTGATGGGCTCTGGCGGGACAGCTGCGTAAAAACAGCTGCGACACCCAGCGCCGGCCCCACCTGCCAGGCCGGCACCTCCCTTTCCTGGAGCGGCCAGCTCAGCGCCCACTCCGCCTAGTCCCCAGCGGTGGTCAGCGCCGTGCTGGCCCGTCTGCACGCTGCCAGCTGCGGCAGCGTCACTCAGATCACATAACCAGAGGCCTGATGAGGTCACTGATGAAAGGACAATGGATTAAAAGACTTTCTGTGTTCTGCAAACAAACTCAAGTACCTTCGTGTCTAAAATTCTGAGAAATGAAATCAGGTCACAAGAGGCCTTTCCACTGTGACGTCTGCTTTCACTGCTGGAGACACAACATCAGAGAAGCTACCAGTAAGCCACACGTTAGACTGGCAGTGCGAGAAATAGGAAAAAAACCCCAAATGCTCAATCCTTTCTGGCCTGGGGAACGGTTTTCTAGCAAAGTGCAAAGAGAAAGTTTCTGGCCAGTGACACGCTCTGCCCGTCTACCAGACGCCACGTCGCGCTCTGCCCGGTGCTGCCAGATGGTGAGTCCCAGCCAACGTATCGAGGCAGCCTTGCATTCTGCCAGCACCATCTCGTCCTGGGAACCGCTCCTTAGTTCACTCACAGATTCACTTTGCTAATGTCTTGAGTTTCAACAATACTGTTGCTAAGTGAGGCTGATTTTCAGTCTTTTTCTTGGGAAGATAAGCACCCCTGGTCTTGCTTATTGCAATGGGGCTGAACTGTTTAAAGGATAATTTATCAGTATCAAAACCAGTAAAATTTGTGGGCCTGGAAACTACTGCAACAACGCTTGTGGATGTGCTGTTTGGAAAAGTAAAATAAATAGGCCGTGATAATTTCTGAAACGAATGCAACTGTTTAGGTGAAAGAGAATTTGAGGAAAACAAAAACACACAAAACCGAGAACATCAAACGAGACCACGGCGGGGCCCGCGTGAGGTCTCGCGGCCTCCAGCTCAGGACACCTACATGCTGGTCAGAGAAACGCCGGTGGAGAGGTAACAAGATGAAAATATGAAGACCGTGAAGCAGCAAACAACTCCCCAAGTGAAGGCAGGTTTGTGAAACACACAGAGCAGCGAAAGTACCAGAATACAAGGAGCTTAAACATCTGTTTTAAAAAACCACCAGTGGGTGCTGACACGAAAGTTCTCAACTGGAGAAACAGGGTGCAGGCCAGGAGGAAGGACCCACCGGGGAGGAGATGAGAAGGGGCTCCTCCTTATAGCACGCGCCGGCAGGGGCGAGGGCGAGAGTGAGGGCCGCCTGACAGGTCGCGCCCCCTGCAGTTCTTCAGGACGTTGGTAACGTAAGGGAAAGTGAGCAGGGTGTGATATAAAACATGAAGTGTGTTTAGGGAAGTAAAGGAGGCATATTAGGCTATTTTCTCAAAAAGAATAAAAGTGACAATTTGATGTATGTAAAATGCAGTATTTTAAATAGGTTTACTAAGAATAAACACAAAGTCACTAATAACTCAGGAAACAGGAAAACTCCAAAAAATCTAAGCTTATACCGAAGGAACTCGAAGAAGAAAAAACACAACCCAAAAGTCAGTGGAAGGAAGGAAATAATAAAAATGATCAAAGGCAGTTTAGGAGACTGTTGACACCAAGAGCTGCTTCACTGGAAAGGTAAGACTGAAAGCCAGGAAGGAGAAGCTACACAGGACACGACAGAAACAGAAAGGACAGAAACAATTACGGCAACAACTGAACAAGCGGGCAAACACGTGGACATCGAGACTATCAGAAGAGAGAGCGAATGGCCGGCGGGGGAGGGCCCGGGCTTCTGGGGAGCCACCGACCACAGGGGTCACCCAGCACCTTTCCTTCTCGGCTGCGTCCAAGGGTCGCAAAGGAGGGAAAACTACCAAACACGTTTTGTGAGACCAACGTCACCTACATGGCAAAACCACACGCAGAAGACACCACGGGCCAGCCCACCCGGCGCCCCGGGACCTGATAGTCTGTCCCCGGGGAAGACACACAGCCGGTCAGGAGGCCCCTGCAGGGCGGCTCATCACCTCCTATTACAGGGGAAGGCGACTCGGGCCTGGGCGTCACCTCACACCTGCGAGAACGACTTTCATCCAGAGACCAGGCAGGGATGGGGAGAGGGAGGCCTGCCTGCCCGCCCGCGTGAGCCGGCGCAGCCTCACGGCAGCAGCGTAAAAATCAAAATCAGAAACTCCACAGGATCCAGCTGTCCCACTCCGGGCATTCGCCTGGGGAACAGGAACCACTAGCTCAAAGAAACACGTACACCCCGTGGTCAACACAGCCTTTTCATAGAGGCCAGGAACTGGCGCCGGAGGATGGAGACGCCGTGCGCGTTCGCGGGGGCACCGCTCAGCCTTAGCAAGACGAAGCCTGCCCTTTGCGACGCGCGTTGAGCGCGTGTTGTGCTTGGTGGAAAAGTCAAATGGAAGAAGACATGATTTCACTCGCGTGGTACACAGAGAAACGAAGAAAAGGAGTTTATTAAGACAAAAGTAGACTTCGAGAGTCTAAGGCCCAATGAGGACAGGGCCGGGAAGCGGGAAGCACGTGCAGGGCCCATCTGGGGCCCGCCCGACACCCGGGCGTCTCCACACACTGTGCTTCAACAAAAGCTCTCAAGGTGAAATTTAAAAAACTTACAATTTAATGTATGTAAAATGTTACTTTATTTTCTCATCCGATAGTTGAGAATTAAAGGGGTTTACTGAGAAAAACACAAGTGACTGGTACCTTTTCTTCAGCAGGGAGTCACAGTATCGAGCCAGCAACTCGGGGGACTTACTGGAGGACTGAGCCATCTTGGTGACCGCGTTGTTGTTGATGAAGCGACCGCAGGCCTGTGGGTCACACGCAGCACAGTTAGGGGGCACGCGGGCTGGTGGGCTCACGCGCCAGAGGCGCCACCCCAGGCACCCACCTTGTCCAGCGCGGCCACAAAGCCAGCATCGTTGTTGAAGGCGGACATGACCAGGGCGTTGTACTTCTTGTGGACGTCCAGCACCGTCTGCACGTACATTTTGGGGTCCTTACGTAGGGAGAAAAAAAATTACAGGGATTAAACTGGATTATCAATTGTTCCTGTAAGACATCTCGACAAAGTTTAGACACTGCCTCAAAGTCTCCATCTTGGCGTCGCCCTCAGAACACACAGGATGTCTGTTTATGTGCAGTAAGAGAAAACACATTCTGGGGACTCAAAATCACTGATTTCAAGCTTGTATGAAAAACAGTGATTTTTCAGGCCTCCCTGGTGGCGCAGCGGTTGAGCGTTGGGTTGCAAAGCTGCCCGCAGCCTCTGCAGCACCAGTTCCATCCCCGCCTGCTCCCCGGCCACTGGAGGAGGGTCCCGCATGGCGCGCAGACCTCTCCTGCCGCCCGCTGCTCCCCTCAGCAGTGTCCTTCGGTCCTTCTGCCTGCTCTGCTCCCTGCTCTGGCTCTGGTGAATTCTCTCACCCTCCCGCGCTTCTGACTGTACCCACTGCTTGTATAAATAAATAAATAAATCTTAAAAAAAGAAAAACAGTGATTTTTAAAAAAATCAAAAGGGATCACAGAAAACAAAGGTTTATGAAACGATAGCTTTGCTTAACTAACATGTGCTGCTCATAATTCATATTCTGGGCTTCGTTGTGGCTGGAGACTAACTGGAGCATATCCTCTGCATGACGCCTGCGCTGCCGATGTGTGAGGATGGCGGCCTGTGGCAGCCCCAGCACCGCTGTCCCCCCAGGAGTCAAACCGGATGGCCCCGGCAGCGCCACTCGCTGTCCTCAAGCTCAGGCTCTGCCAGAACTGGTCCCCACCAGGTGTGCTTGCTGGCAGGCCAGAGTCTGGGGGGGAGGATCTGGATGGACCCACTGGGGACATGCGCTGGAGCGCGAGGTGTGGCACGGGGGAGCCGGGTGACTCCCGACGGCCTGGGCCCGCACCCGTCGCTCCACCGCCGCCCCAGTGCCCGCCTTCTCCCCAGCTCAGGCCGACACCTGGAGATCTTCTCACAGAGCCTGGTGCCAAGTCAGTGCCCTCCCACCCTCCAGAAGGGGCTCAAATTCATCCCTCTAGTAATTCACAGATGTGACACTGAGGCAGCAACCCCCAAAATGGAAGGTGGAAAAGGATTTTAAAACCATATTAAAGACTGTATGTCAGAAATAACGAACATGAAACACGCAGAGCCAGTAACAAGGCACGCTTCTCTGGTTCACATGTAAGTCACAGACCTGCGGCTTCCCTCCCCACAGCTTTCCCACACACGCCCAAGACGGGAGCTCGCAACAGGGATGAAGCGGACACTTAGCCGTCTCTTCAAACTCCAGGCACTGCCTACGCTCGCATCAGAGAAAACCAGCTGAGTGTTCCCGCCCCTGGGGGTGGGTGGGGTGCACAGGCGGGGCCTCTGCAGCCCCCTAGGCCAGCAGGTAATAGTGAGACAACACAAAGGGAAAAAGATGTCAAGAAAGGACGTTCTTAATGCCTAAAAGTTGTGGGGGTTGGGGGGGGTGGGGCTTATGGAGGATTTACTGAGTCCTGACACAGCCACGTGCAGGGCCACGCAGCCTCACGCCCGGCGGCAGTGGCCTGGAGCCTCGGCCCGGCACTTACGTTCAGTGCGGCCTCCCCACACTTCTCAATGGCCGCGAGCCCCTGGTTGTGGATGTGCGTCTCCAGGAGCTTCTTCAGCTCTCCCAGGCCGTCCTGGATCCTGGACACAAGGTTGTACATGCGGCCCAAGTCTGAAAGCAGAAGGCGAACAGGCCTTGCTTACCCACCAAACACACCTGCTCCTGCGAAGGGCGGGCCGCAGGGAGCCAGGCCCCAGGCAGGTGTGCGCGTTCAGCTACAGGGAGGACACCGTCACGCTGCAGCCAAGGCCCTGTGTCCTGCGTGTGAGAAACCATTGGCAGAGGAAAAAATCTCTGTAATCAGAAACGTCATCTGGGGTTTCTGAAACACATTTATTTCAAGAACAAAAAATTTAAGGGGTATATGTGACTACCCATCGCAACTGGGAAACAAGTCACAAAAGGGCCCCCAAAGTTTCCACTTACTATGTGTTTGGGATCCAAAGAGGAACAGTCCCAATGCCAAAGGCCAACCTCAGTTGCTGAGTTCCTGGCATGTACCAGTGACACAGGGAAGGGCTCAGGGAAACACAGTAACACCTCACCTGGGAGGCTTTTCACGGGAAAAATACTCCAGGAAAAAATTAGGGGTAGGAGTATTTGGTGGTAAAACACCAGCTACATTCCAAGTTAAGCTGGAAGACGCCCTCCCCTAAAGCCACTTCCAGAACCTTACACAGAGGTCTGACACTGACATGCAGGCACAGCCCCCCGCTTTGAAAGTGACTGGGGTGATAATGTCAACTGAGTCCAGAGCCGTGAACATTCCCAAACCACTGACCGTGGCAAAGACCTGCGCGTTTCGAGGCTGGGCAGCTCACCTTCGTTCTTGTCGGCATCCAGCAGGTTCTGGAACTCCGTGTGGAAGATCTCCAAATGCTTCTCGATGAGCACCTGCTCGCACTTGCGGGCCAGCTCGTCTTGGGTGCTCTCGTGCAGATAGACCTGGACCCGGCGCTGCTCCTCCAGCAGACGGGCTTCCGCCTGGGGGTGCAGTCAGGAGTGAGGGCTGCCGCTTGAGCCACAGTCAGCTCACCCGCAGCCCCGCCTGGTAAGACGCGACAGAAAGTCCCCCTCTTCTGGTTTCGGGCACCCCGGTCAACACTGGTCCAAAATAATACCTACAATGAAGGGATCTTGAGAGGCCACACTCACCTCCCTGTCACTGCAGTAGATTGCTGTTATCACTGTCACTGTCTCTTACTGGGCCTCACTTACAGTCCACAGCAGCAGGAGCAAAGGCGGGATCACGGGGTCAGCGCTACCTGTGGTTTCAGGCCCTGGTGTGGGTCTTGGGACCCACCCTCTACAGACCAGGGGGCCCTGTAAGTGCCAAGAGGATTTAAATGGTCCTGACGTGTCCCACGTTCTCTGTGCTAATATTCCCCTTTCCTTACGAACAGTTCAAACGTCTTCATATCAACACTTCTCAGTAAATGGTTATTTCACCCTTTGGGGTTGGCCCCATTTCACACTCAGAGAAACCCGCACACCCAGTTAAAAACCATTATTTTTGACTGAAAGTGACAAAGCTCAGAGTATTTGTATTTGTCAGAAGCCCCAGAGCCTCCTCACAGAATCGCTGCGCTGAGAGCAAGATGCGTGGTGCAGAAGCCTGGTCTCCCAAGGCCAGGACTTAGGACCCAGGGTCTCTGAAGGGCCTCTGCTTTAGTACGACTTTGATGGTCGGGGGCACTTCTGAAGCAAAAGCTCAACGTCTGCAGACATGAAAGTCTGTTTCTTGAGAGCCTATCTCCTCACAGACACAGCAAACCGTGGCTGCCGCGCTGCAGACATGTTCCCGGAGGCCGCTCTCTCCACAAAGGTGGAGCTGCCACGCTGTGCCCCGGACAGCACAGCTCTGGGCTACGACTTGAAGTCAGTACATAAGAGCCGCTGGCCAGCCGGAGCACCCCAGCCCAGTGGACACCACCAGCTCCCGCCCACCAGCTCCTGGCGGCCAGCGTGGGGCTCCGCTCACCTTCTTCATGTACTCGGTGACCGGGTTCTGCTGCAGGAATTCGGTACTCTCCCTGGTATAAAACCGCTCCGTGTCGGCCAAGAATTGCGATTCAAAGGATTCCTTATACACCGTTAGCGTCGGACCCTTCGCAAAGGCGTCGTCCTCATTCAGCCCCAGCTCCACTGGGAACAAACACACTGCATTTCATCACCCTGTTCTACAGAACAGGCCGAGCGCAGCATCCAGTCTAACTTACGCTTGAAACACAAGCGTGGGATGGCAGGGCATATTATCAAGTCTACTGTTTCAATAAAATAAAGGAAAAAACCCTAAGATACATAAAATTAGTCAGGCATGCTTCAAAGCTCCCATTAAGTTCATTTCGAGAACTCTCACGTTTCTAAAAAAAAAAAAAACCCTTAAAAATAATAAAATGGCCTGATTTAAAACTTCCAAAGAAATACAACGCTACTTGAAGTTTTTAAAACATGGTATTTCTTTATTGGTTTCTTGATCTTGATTTTTCAAACTGATAAAGACTTCTGGCCATGACTCAGTTCCACTAATGACTCCATCACATTATCATCCCAGTAGTTCAGTATAAGACCAGAAACAATTCAACGTCTATCCCATCCAAGTTCCTTAAAGGCATATTTATGATGACTGTACAATCAAAGAGAATCACAGTGGCTCTTCAGAGAGGACTATGAGTCCACTGCAAATGCTAACAATATTCTTGATAGTAATAAAACATTTGCAACGAGTCTGGGTGAGCAGTGCTGTGACTGCCATCGGCTAGGAGACGTCACCCAAATGAGGGAACTATGTACCGTAAGACTGCACGACTCCGCTGATGAGTCTTGTGTTGATGGTCTCGCCATTTCTCTCCTTTTCAATCAATTTTAAAACAGCATTTGTTACCTTCAGAAAGGACACAGGACAACAGGTAAGGCGTGCAAACTGCAGGCTACAGCGCGTATCACTGTGTCTCGTCAACACCCAACCTTTCACACGCAAGAGGAGAGATGACCTCGAGACAGCCAGAAGGAGGGGAGACCCACCCACAGCGAATCTCCAATGGATTTTACGAGGAAAACATGAACACACATGAGCAGGAGGTACCTGTTTATTCAACGGTCTGAACAGACAATCTCTCCAGGTCACCAACGCAAGCTGCATGAGAAGAAAGGGAGAGGGACGTGTAAAGCACCTGTGCGTTCACTAGGATGTCCCGAGAAGGCAGAGGAAAAAGCCCGACCCCAAGTGCACTCATCATGATTTCTAGATCCCAACGTGGTAAACCCATCATCATGGTGAAGTCAGAGCTGCGGATCTGACCAAAGCAGCTTGCCAGCTCACACTAGCAGGCGGGACAGAAAGAAAACCCAGACATTTCTTCAACACTTTCTAATGAAGTACGTCTGGGCTGGGGCCCCGCAGGTGGGCAGGACCACGCTGTGGGTTTGGAAACCACACTCTGAAGGCCCATGGGCCAAGTAAAAGCTCCACTGGTTGAAGAAACAGATTTTGCCTCTTCAGAATGTATTTTTCCTGCAATCTAAAAAAGACCCTCTCGGCTTAAGACTCTGCTAGAATCATGGCAGATCCTACTATTTGGTTAAGTGAAAGGGGAGAATGGAGCTGCCAGCTGCCCCCAGCAGACTCCCAGACACAAGAGCCCACAGGCACCGAGTCCAGGGGATGGGGGTGGGTGTTTGTGTGTGTCCGGGGTGCTGAGTCCAGGTGGGGAGGCGCTGAGTCCAGAGGAGGGGGTGTGAAGTCCCAAGGAGGGGGCGGCGCCGAGTCTGGGTGGGAGGGGGTGCGGAGTCCAGGTGAGGGAGTACCAAGTCCAGGTAAGGGGGTGCCGAGTCGGGTGGGGGGCCCTAGGCCTGCCAGGACACGGGGCTTGCACCACTGATATGGCTGGCCGCGCAGGGTGAAGGCCCCTGGACAGCACATGCTGAGTGTGCGGGCTGCACTTCAGGAGCCAGTCTGCTCACCCTCCTCCCTTCTAGACACTCTAGCCACAGACTGCAGAAGGTGCTCCCTCTCCTGCTACTAACACCAAGGAAAGGGGCGGCTACTCTGAGAAGACCTCAGCGCTAGCCTCGCCCCTCAGGATGGCAGGCCACCAGGAAAGGGCACTGGTGATGGCGTCCGCGGCCGGCTTACCGAGTAGATCTCATAGATCCCTTTCCGGCCTTCGTCGCACTCGCGGCGCACCCAGTGTCTGTTGAGGTAGGCGCAGATGCCGTTCAGCACTTTGCTGGAGAAGCGGTAGTCCTCCCACTGCTGGGTGTAGAACTTCAGCACACTCTCATCCATCAGGTCCTCCCCGTCCTGGGAACAAGTGAGCAGGGGTCAGATGCCATTTGTCACATGACAAAGGTCAGAGTCAGGCAAATCCTATTGGACTAAAACACACCGACGTATGTGGTATCTTAGACGGGCTCTTCAAGTCACTCCATCTACAAAAACGTGCTCCTTAACACAAATCCTCACCCCTGCATCTCACGAGGATTAGGCTCAAGAGGGAATTTTAATAAAAATTTTTGTACCTCAAATGGGATGGGTCTCTCTTCATGGCATGAACTACGTACATACACACATGCAAGGTGCCCTCAAACTTTAGAATACGAGGATAATTCCTGCATGTTAACAAGTCAGGAATTTACTCCAAAATCATCCCTATTTTGATATTTTCTGTTAAAGATGTAATTAACATGTCCTATTAACAATCTAGGTCATGAGGGCAACACTAATTACTGTTTTAATGCATCTTCCTCCTTCATTAAATTTACTTAAAAGTATAAAAGTCTATTAAGTTTTTCGTGGTCATCAGCTCCACTGTCGTGAGAATAAACTAAGTACACGTTTCTTCTTTAATAAGACCTCATTTTCCCTGAGAAGTCCATGACGTGAACCATAATTTTCATTTGATGGAAATGAACTTGGAGTTTTCCTTTGGTTTAATAATGTCTGCAAAACCCGAGCCCTCAAAGGCAGAGTCTGAGCCGAAGACAGGCCAGGAGGGAAGAGCCCCCCACCCAGGCGCTGCCCCTTCGGGCTGTTCTCCCGCCCGTGGGGCCCGACAAGCCCGAGAGAACCTGGTCCTGTCCCAACACAGCCAGACTTCAGATCACTGAAATCCAAGAAAGATGCGAGCTGTTGTGAGCTGTAACATGTTAACAAGAAGTTATTCTGGGCTAAAATTTATGTGAGTGTTTTAAAAATGTGACGATGTCACCGACAGTACAGCCACCCGTGCTTCTCACAGCTCACAGGCGGCTCCTGATTTTAACACTGAGGAACAACTAAGCAGAAAGAGCCAAGGGCCTCGGGCCTGTGGACACATGGCTGGGAAGCATGAAGGTGACCTCACCCTGGGCAGGACCTGTCACAGTGACACGCACGATGCCAATTAGTTTGTGACAATGTTAAGACAACTGTGGATGCTGCCATTGTGGCCTTATCTGTGTAAGTCAAAAATCTTTGAATGTCACACCCAGAGAACATAAGCCTGGGCAGAGCCCGAGGCCCCCCCCCCCTCGGTCAGTGGTGGCCCCAACGGAGGAGCCATTAATCATCGCGAGGCCGGAAGGAAGGTGTTGCAGCCCACGGGGCTCAGGACAGGCGTAGCTTACTTGAATTCACAATTCTGTGCTTTAAATTAGAAGGCTCCCCAGTTTCTAACAACTAAATACAAAATAGTAATAAGAGAAGCACTATTGTGATGTAACAGTTACCAGAAACTTTTAATTTAACCAAAAAACAGAATATGGCTTATGAATGTTGAATGTTTCAACTTCCTACCAGGTAACACCTTTCTGCACCTAATCCTGAAGAAAGTGAACAGGTAACAGTAAACGTCTGGCACTGAAGTTAAAACCAGTATTTCACGACTTAAAAAAAACCAAACACACACAAAATACAACTATTATCAATGCTTAGTACGTAAAACTTCTTACCTTAAGAAGATTTGTCAAGTAATTCTTCAAAAATTCTTTAAGTCGTTTGTATAATTCCAAGCCAACAAACTGGGCTCCCCCGGGCGTCTGCCCCTTTTTTGACTTAGACGGTGGGACGCCAGCCCCTCGCGCCTGGTTGGACTGGTGGACACTCGTGCAGTAGTTGTAGACGTGACTTGGAGCAATGTCAAGGAAATCAACACGCGTCGTTGACCCGACTCATACGAGAGTCTTTTCCTAATAAACATATCAGAACCAGGCGGCTCCCGGCGTAGCAACGAAAGCCCCTCCCGAGGCAGCACAATCAATCGGGTGGAATGTCACCCAGAGCACCAGCTGAGGAGGCTGGACACTCGGCAGGAAGGTCACCAAGAGCACAATGGGCCTTTCAAGTCACCAGATCCAAGGTGCCTGCTGAGGAGGGTGCTGCAGGGCTCGCCCGTGGCACCGGGGTCTCTGTGAAGACCCAGAGAAACCCAACCGTGCCACCCAAGGAGCTGCTCCCCCAGAACTGGAGCTACTTTGCCTAAAACTGGAGGAAGCGAAAGAGACATGGAGGATGCAGCAGAAGAAAGTGAGACACCAAAAACCTTGCTCGGCTCAAACCAGGGCAGGGAAGGTGCGAGGAGGTTCTCCCTGGCTGACGGCGCACAGCGGCTGCCCTGGCCTGCAGGAGACTTGCAGGGCGCCCTCGCCCCCACACTGCGACGGGCTGGCCCTGCCCTCCAGGCTCCTACTCAGCTGCCTCACTGAGCACAGAACAGAGGCAACTGGATTCATCTGGTGGCAGGGAGGACAAGGGGGAACAGTCGCTTAAGTTGGAAAATCTTAAGTTTATGTATCCAGACATTCACAGCTCTGAAGGGCAGGGCTGAGTGTTTAAAAATTTTTAACCACTGAATTCGTTCTTTCCAAGTATTCTTCAGAGAGGCAAGGCTATTCCTTCCCTCCCAGGCTCACCTCCTCAAAGAGGACCACCCCCCAAAACCAAAAGGCACAATTTGAATGGAAAGGAAACCTCTTAAAAGCTGTATCAAAGCTCCCACCCAGAGTTTAGCTCCACATTCATTTCCAAATTAGCATCACCATCACCCAACCAAGCGCCAGCAGCATGAGACAGCAGGGGCTGAAGATACTACTTAGTGGTTAGATTTCCTGTGTGTTAAAATGTAAGGTTTCTCCATCAACGGATATCTAAGTTAGATGAAATAACACAGAGAAACTCCCAATAATTGCTGTGATGTCAAACAGTATTAACTCCAGCATGTTAAGAAAAGAAAAAGTGGACGTATGTGGCAATGCCTGAGAGCACATGCTGAGCTAGAAGGCCAAGGCCTAGATTCAAGTGCAATTCTAAAAATCTTCAAATAATTCCAAAGGGAAGAAGCAGGAATAAAAGAAATGTTTTTGAAAGAGCAGGAAAAAAAAAGTAGACCTGAAATCAACCTATTAACATTCAGAAATGAATGTGAAGAGAGTAAAACCTACAGTCACAGGCAGAGATGGTCAGAAGGACAAACAGCTGCTCTGTGCTGCTGCAGGAGCTACAGTCAGATGTGAGGACACAGATGGGCTGAGCGAATGGGCGGGAGAAGATTATCGTGCAGACACCAAGCATCAAAAGACCAAAAAGGCAATAACTATCAGACAAAACAGACTTCCATAAAACTACCACCAGAGAGGAGGGCATGACACAGTGAGGAAGGGTCCCCTCGCTCAGAAGGCAAACATATACGTATAGGCTCCTAAAAACAAAGCCTCAACGTGCACGAAGCAAAATTTGAGAGAATGAAAGAGAGGAGAAAAGTCCACAATCCCGAGAGGTTTTTAACGCTCTTCTCTCAGCAGCCAGACCTAGGAGCTGGGGGCGGTGGGAGGAAAATCAATGAAGACATAGATAACGAGACACTCTCCACTACCTCCACCTGGCTCTCTACCCAGCATGCTGGCAAACTGATTTCCTCCCAGGTGTAGGGGTGTAATCCCCCCACTACGGCAGGTTCGGGCTACCTCCAAGACATCCCACGACAGGGAGCAGGGGACAGGTGCTCAGCCATGACCCGAAAGCAGCAGCATTCCTGCCCCAGCACCACCGTCAACACCCCACCAATCCACATCCTGCAGAATCCCCGTTTTCAACAGTCCACTTTCCAAACAGGCCATTTTCTTAAATCAGCCTTCAATACAGTCTAAAGAACTGGATCCATAGTTTATTCTTTGACCAAAATGGATTAAATTAGAAATCACTGCCAATGATCTGATATACAAAACTCCAACTATTTCTAACAACAAACATTTCTAAGTAATCCAAGGGTCAAACAAAAATAAGGAAAATTATGTGTTGCACTAAATGATAATGAAAATATAGCATATCTAAATTTGTGGAATAAAGTTAAAAATCCTCACAAGAAATTTATACCTTGAAATACCTGAATTAGAAAAGGTAGGAGGACAGTGCTCCCCACTGAGTCACGGCTGGTGGTTCCCAGCAGGGCCCCGCAGCTTCTTACACAGGTTACAGCGGATCCTAAAGGTCACGTGGAATTATAAGGGCTCCAAAACCAATCTTGGGGAAGAAGAAAGTTGAGAAACTCACACTCCCATGATTTTAAAACTCAATTGCGGGCCTCCCTGGTGGCGCAGCGGTTGAGCGCTGGGTTGCGAAGCTGTCCGCAGCCTGTGCAGCACAGGTTCGATCCCCAGCTGCTCCCCGGCCGGCCACCGGAGGAGGGTCCCGCATGGTGCGCAGACCTCTCCTGCCACCCGCTGCTCCCCTCAGCAGTGTACTTCGGTCCTTCTGCCTGCTCTGCTCCCCGCTCTGGCTCTGGTGAATCCTCTCACCTTCCCGCGCTTCTGACTGTACCCAGTGCTTGTATAAATACATAAAATAAATAAATAAAAATAAACCTTGAAAAATAAAGATAAAAAAAAAAAAACTCAATTAAAAGGCAATAGCAATCAACTCTGGCACAAGACAGAGACCTACAGAACAGACTCGAGACTCCAGAGGAAACCATGTGTGTGTTTGTGCACAACTGATTTTGGATAAGACCCTTCAAGGGGAGCGATGGTGTCTCTGTGAGTGGTGCTGACAGGACTGGACAAGCAAACAGCTCAGGTGGGGCCCTGACCCCACACCGCATATAAAATTCAATTCTAAACAGATAAAAGATGTAAACACAACCAAGATTACTAACATTCGCAGAAAACTCAAGAGAAAAATCTTCATGACCTTGAATTTGGCAAGGGATTTTTAGAAACCATACCAAAGTATAAGTGACCAAAGAAAAAAGTCGGACTTCATCAAAAACTTAAACTTTTGTGTCACAGAACACAACTGAGAAAACTGAAGACAACCCATAACATGAACAGGAGGAAACATCTGGGAATCATCTGTCTGATAGTGTCTGCATTCACAATATATCCAAAAGTACAACTCAAAACTAAAAATACAACCCATTTAGAAAACGGTTAAAGGACCTGAATACACAGTTAAGGGAGGTGTAAAAATCAATGGACACATGAGTCATCAGGAAAAGGCACATCTAAACCACATCAAGGGGCCTCCCTGGTGGTGGTCTAGGGGTTAAGTCTTGCTGCTATCACCTCTTTGGCCTGAGAGGTGCAGGCCACATGGTGCAGCAGACCTCTCCTGTCTCCCTGCTGCTCCCCTCAGCAGTTGAGTTTCAGTGGATCCATCTGTTCTGCTCCCCACTCTGTCTCTGGTGAATCCTCTCACCTCCGCACCTCTGGCCTGTACCCCAGTTCTTCTATGCAAAAATAAATAAAATAAACATCTTACAATAAAGGAACAATTCTTTAAAAAACAAAACAAAACAAACACATCCAGGGAGACATCACACTCACCAGGATGCTAGAACCTGGAAGGCAGATACTGCCCGGAGCTAGCTGGGGTGTGGAGAGACAGAAACCTCACGTGCTGCAGGTGGGAAATGAAATGGCGCAGCCACTCTGGAAGTCTGGTGGGTCTCAAAAGGGTTCAACTTAGCACTACCATCTGGCCCAGAAATTCCACTCCTAGGATTTACCAGAGAACAAAAACACATCCACGCAAAAACCTGTTGACAGATTTATACCAGTACACCAACAGCCAGAGGTAGAAATGTAACAGGGGGGTCCAGGAAAGGGGGAGGTTCCAGGTTTCCTGCCCCACCCAAGGGAGGGTGGAGCTGAGCAGGGAGAGAAGAAGCTGCAGAGGAGACTGAGGAAGGAAGGAAGCAGGATGGAGCCAGAAGGAGCCCTGGAGGAGGCGCATGGAGCCGAAAGACACACGAAGAAGCTGCGCTTGCCTTTTGGTCGTGGACGGGGTGACACAGATGTGGGTGAGACCCGTGGGGAGGTGACCATGGCAGCTTTTATCTTGATGTTGATTTTGCTCTTTTCCTTCCGGGCTTGTCTGGTTGTTTCTGACCCTTTTCTGTGGGTCCCCACTGGAAGGTGCCTTAGACTTGTGACAGGCTTTGGGGCCTTGCTCTGGGCCAATCCTGCTTGGGTGGACTTTTACCCACGAGGGGACGGGTCACTTTGGGTGCTTGATTTGGAAAGTATATTCTTTGCCTTTCCTGTATTTTTCACTAATTGTATTAACGTTCCTTTTCATGAAAGTCTCGTATGTTTTGTGTTGATGCAGCCGATGGCAGAGCCTATTTTGCGCGGGCAGGTTTGTGGGGCCTGAGGTGCCCCCCTCCCTGCCCTGTAACAGAAACAACCCAACGTCCGTCAGTGGGTGATGGATAAACGGAATGTGTTCTTTCCAGCAATGGAATATTATTTGGTCATAAACACGAATTACTGATAAATGCTACAACATGGATGAAGTTTGGAAACATGGTAGGTGGAAGATGCCATCAACACAAGGCCCTTATCAGTGTACCCAGGCTGCTAACACAAACCACAGCGGGTGGCTCTGATACGAAGACCCCTTTCTCACAGTTCTGCTTTAATCCCACTTAGTTTCTAGACTGATCCTCGGCCCAGCACGCGTTTACAGTAAGTCATCCATTTTCAAGTCCTACCCATCTTTATGAACATACACCTTTTTTCTTTTTGCATGTACACACTCTTTCACTGGGCCTCTGAGGTTCCCGGGATCCTTTGTCGTAGCCAATTACGCCAAGCACCACGGCCAGTCCTCTGCGATGCCCAGTCGACGAACTCCAGGCCCTGGAGGTGCCACTTCCCACTTCCGCGAGCACCTTTTTCCCTCCAGGAAACACTGTGACTTTCCTCCTCATCTCCACTCAGCCCACGAAAGGGGCCTTTCCACCCTGGGGACAGCACGCTCCTCCCTCCTTGGCAACATCAGCTGGTCTCGCTGCCCGTCTTGTTCTTCCTGCTAATCCACGAGAGGAATTTCCCAGCCCAAGGTCCCGTTACTCTCCCAGCCAGCCCATTTAGTAGGCATCGGAAAGCTAGAAAGAATATGTATATATGCAACATGACAGAAAGGCAAAAGGCCAGAAAAAAGATGAGCAGAATAGAAAACGAGGATACAAAGTTACACTATGCAGGTCAGAACCCTAAACTTCACCTGAACAAATAAAGCAAGAGTGACCAGAAACACACCATGCTCGGGGCCGCTGCCAGTTGGCCTGGGTCAGTGCTGCTAAAGGCACCAGGTCCCAGAACCGCCTGCTGAAGTAATTCCTATTTCTGACCAAAGTATTAAGATTATCAAAGATACCCGGGGAAAGTGGTATTTTTATTGTCTCTAAACAAAGGTGCCTGTTTCTAGATCACACAAGAACAAATACTAGTGTTTAAGACAGAAGCCACCCGGCACCAAATCCTCCATGCTGAGGACAGAGGCTTGTTTTCTGCTGCTCCTATTGTTAGAACAGGCAACGCGCAGTGTGAACGCAACCATTTCTTTAGGATACAGTTAAGAGTTTAAAAAAACAAAACAAAACAAAACAAAACAAAACAAAAAAACCAAGTCAAAGCTCATCTTTCCATATTTGTAGTTCTAAATTTGCTTCTAAGATCAGAGCAAACTGATGCTAAGCTTGAGCACAGCAGCCGTCTCGGCACGCCCGCCAAGGCTGCCTGCACCCGACACTGTCCCCAGCCCGGCGGGTGGAAACGGAGTGCTTAATTCTTCCCTTCTTTAATAATTGCGAGGCTGGGCATTTCCCCCGTGTCCACCGATCATTTGTGTTTCTTCTCTCTGCAAACCAGTTATGTCCTTCAGAGCCTTAGGCCTAGCAGTACAGATACATCTCTGAATACACGGCTTGCACTTGAAAAAAATACACGCTTACACGTTCCGGTCTATGCGATGTAAACCATGACCATCAGGTGGGCAGCATCAGATTAAAGTGAGAGTCTGGAATAAAGAGCGTGCGCACGCACGCACGCACACCTCTACATGGCTTCTTCAGGGTCATCACCAATCAATTGTGAAAACATGTTACTCTGTTTGATCTGCTTTCCTTTTTTTCCCCTTAGTTTCATGGAGGCCCACAAGGGGGGCTGCGGGCCCCCGCAGCACCCTCCCCACCTGGGCAGAGCGGCAGCTGTGACAAGGCCACGCAGCTGGCGGGTGCTGGGCGCAGCGGGCCCGGCATGTCCTGGCCTGTCCCCTGCATGGCACATGCTGGCAGCTGCTGTGGGCTGCACGCCTTGATCCTGAGTTGTGTCTCAGAGCATCGGGACAGAGATTAAATGTGGTTTCTGAATGTGCTGAGGCTGACTTAGGAGAAGAAAGCAGCAGGACTAGGAAAGACAGGTTTGGTCCTTAGTGCATGGGCTGGGAAAAGAGGACTTAGCAGAAAATCTACCCAGGCTAAGAAAACAATGAGCAAATGCAGCTCCCAGCACTACAGGAAGAACCTACATTTTTTTCTATCTAGAAAAAACAAATCAACAAGCAAGTTCAAGGTGACTCCAAGGGAAGCCATAAAAGATGGTCACAGAGGAAAGAGCTGACCTGGAAGGGCAGGGCCTGGGGTCCAGCAAGACAGACAGACGCTGCCGCCAATGGCCCGATGCCTGGACCGACAGGCCGCTCTCGGCCTCACCGCAGCCCCTCCACAAAGGCCCGCTCTGCTCATCAGGACCCGAGCTTGACCTCTGAGCCAAGAACAGCGCCTGAAACATAACGCTGTCAATACACTGAAGAAGAAATCCCATCACGGATTTGCAGCTCAGAGGAAAGGAAATCGAGCTCTCTCCTGCAGCCCAAGACGCTGAAAGGGAAGGAGGCCTGAGCAAGAATGCGGCCCCGACTCTGGCCCTCGTGAAGGTCGAGAAAAGGCCCTCGTGTTTGAGAAAAGGCCCAAGGATTCTGGGATGTGACAGGATATCCCGCCCAAGAGGGACCTCACCCACTTGGTCAGACGGCCCTGCTCCATCGGGCTGTGCTCTGTAAGCTCTGAGGGCGCCCCCTGCCACGAACCAGCCCTCCCAGGCCTTGGACTCCACAAAGCCACGTGACCGCTCAAGCTAACCTGCACACCCAGACCTGAGACCAGCAGAAGCAGCAGAGATTGCTGGCCCAGGCTGGTAGACTGCGCTGGCCAAGGGCACGCGCCCACCATGATGCCTTCGAGCAGGGTTCTGTGCTGTCACCAGCTGGTGGGGGTGGCATATGGCGTGGCCCTTGGGCAGCTGTCTCCCTACTGGCCTCATGTGCCAGATGACCCAATGTCCCTCTGTGGCACGTGCCTAGGAGCTGAGGGCCTTGTCCACATAAGCCCTGACAACAGCCCTCACCTCAGGGGTGGGGAGCCCGGCGCTGTCAGGGACCAGAGAGTCGGGTCAACCACATGGCGGCACCCAGAGGGTGGCTGGCCCGGGAGGTGTGTGACCTCTCCTTCTGACAGTGCGGAGACAGCTGGACAGCGGCCTTAGGGCTAGGGGAACGGAGTGGCCTACGATCACCGCTGCACCCACCCGGTACCCACGGGACACGGATGCCAGGCATATCAGAATAAGGCGAACAAGATGGCATACAATTAAATCGCAATAAAACTGTCTCCAAAAAAGCATTTCACAGTGTAAGTGTAGATACACATGAACATGCACAGAAACCAACAACAAATTTTAAGTTTCGTTAGTATCATTAAGTATTTGAATTAAAATTAACTTTTTAAGATTCTCAGATACCATCCAGCTGAGCGCACTAAGTTAGAACACCCCATCTGACAGCAAGGCACTCTGACACGCGAAGATTCCACCCTAAGCCTCCATAGAACTAACCAGCAACTGTAAACCTAAGAACCAGCAAGCCGGCCTCCCGTGCCCCGTGACCGAGGTCAGATCTCGCCCGTCTCTCACACCTGAAGGGCATCAGAACGTCCACAAGTTACAGGACACAAGTTACAGGACACGCCCTTCTCACCCTCATGACTCCACACACGCCACACCATGGGCCCAGCCACGGGTCAGTGGCGGATGTTCTCAGCACAAGACATAGCCACAGCGCAAACCTTTACCATAAAGCACAACCCTGGCTCTGCGTGGGGCCCTTCGGCCGGGAGTGGGCACACGCACCCCAGCCGGGGCTGGTGAGGGCCTGTCCTTGGCTGTGCGGCACAGACCGCCCCGGGGCAGCTCCTCCATTCGGCCCTCAGGGGGACGGCAGCCACAGCCTCTGAACAGGCGGGCCCTGGGCCACCAGCGCCTTCTGCGCCACGCACAAAGTGCATGAACCCACTGCCGAGCACTGGAACGTGGGGCCCGCAACGGAGGGACCAAGTTTGACTTTACATGTGAATGGCCACACACGGCCAGCAGCCACTGTCGGGAACAGTCTGCTTCAGACAACAACCAGCCGATTTCACCTCCGATCAAAAATCTTAAGAACTAAATGAATTAATTTTTAAAGCTTAAAAATGAACTCCAAATACACCACAGCAAGAACCGGCAAGAGAAAACATGAGCCGGCGCCTCCGTCACGGCCGGGCACCGCGGGGCGGGGATACGTGTAGAGCTCCATGTATCTGGACTTGGCCATGCTCTGCCTGGTGTACACTTGCTGCACCCCGGCGCGGAGGTCATCCCAGATCTGGTCCAGGCCGATCTGCTTCAGCCCGTGGGGGTTCTGACTCCTGTTGGATGACATTGTGAATGGCTATTCTGAAGTCGTCAGTGCAGCGCTCCTCCTCCAAGGTTCAGCTAATTCTCCATTAGATGAAAATATACAGGATCATTCCAAGCGTATTCACAGCAGCTCAGAAAGGATGTCCGTCCCGTGTAGAGAACCCAGTCTCATCGCAGGCAAACCTGGAGAAATAAAGGGCCTCAGTTAATCTTTCCTCACCATCCCCACCGGGCAGGACCCCCCAGCCCCAAGACAAGGCCCCGGGGTGCAGGAATGCGCCAGCACATGGCCCTGCCAGCGGGAGCCCAGCCACACCCCAGCCAGGTCATGGTGCCCAGGCCTGGCTCCGCGGGGGGCAGGACCCCGCATCCCCCCGCCCCCCCACCTCTGGCGCAACCTTACACAGGAAGGGAAGGCGGAGGAAATGCCAAGAAAGAGAAACAAATAGCTAATAAACAGAAAAAAACATGAGATCTCGTGAACCATCCATGATTTTTATGCTCTTTCACTGAGCGCCTTGGAAACACGCGGATGCTGGTGTGGCTGACGGTGGAGGAAAACAGTCACTCCCTTTTGAGAAAGGAATTTGGCAAGAATTATCAAAATTTTAAGCGTACGCTGAACGCAGACAACCGGCCGGGTGCTGAGCTCCACACCCGCCAGGCCTGTGGCCAAGAGACGCAGCTTCTCTAAGCCCCGATTCCCTGGTCCGCAAAATGGGGCTGAATCACCCTCCTCAAATAGTTCTTGTGGAGTTCAAACAAGCTGATGTGGGGGAAACTGCGGCTGCACAGTACCTGCCCTCATAACACACAGGTCCTGGAAGTGTTTCTAAATGTATCAAGCGACTCCACCAAACTATTTATAATTCAGCTTCAAGACCCTGGCTCGCCGACAGCGGCCCCAGCTATTCCGGGCTGGATTAAGTCAGTTCTCCGCATGCAAACACCGCGGACGTGCCACGCCATCACGCCCAAACCTGAGGATTTCGGGGACAGCGTATCTAGCGAGAGGTTAAGAAACACAGAACCATTTTAATGGCTCCCACGGCACTGCCTCGCTCAGCCCGCACCCCTCACCCCTTTGGGGAAATTATCACTTAAATCCCCCACACTCTCACCCCAGCTAATTCTTAGACGAGCTTTTCTCACATCCACCGAAATCCTCCATTGCTCTGTTTTTAAACGTTTGTCATTGCTGCCAGCACCGGGGAAAGCACTGCCCTCGTTCCCCTTCTACCTTCCTGCGTCGTCCTACGCGCGCGGGCCCTGCCGGGCGGGCTGACTGCTGACCGCTCCCCCAGCTGGGAGGCCAGTCCTCCCTCGCCACCTTGTCCCCCCCACACCCCCGTCGTTCCCGGGGGACACAGGCGCTCGGGCCCCGGCTCAGGGGTTGGGTCTGCTCCTGCAGCACAGGCGCCCGCGGAAGCCCAGCGCGTCTGTCACTGCGGAGTCTTCAGGAACACGCCACCTTACACGCTACACTCCCTCCACCTCATGTCAGAAACCTTAAGTGGAAGTCATAAAAGCCAGAGGTCTGGAGGTTTGTGGTAAGGGGTAAAAGCAGCTCCCCAGGAAACCAGTCATGTAGCCCAAAGCCCCAGGAGGCCCGGAGGGCAGACAGTAAAACAAACAAACAAACAAACAAACAAACAAACAAACAAACAAACAGAATCTTACTTAGGTCCCAGATCCTTTTCCAACACATCCTGGCATCACAGGGCTCAGTGACAGTGGGCATGACCACCCAGGGCGGCCCTAAGCCGCTGGACACCCCAGCACCCCACTGAAGGTGGCAGCCAGCCAGGCTGGCCGGGCCACGGCGGTGGGGCACACGCCCACCCTCTTCTCCCCCAGGACAGTCGGACAACGGGTGCACAGGGGGTGACAGCAGAAGGGAGGTGGACCGAAGGGCTGGGCGGCGCCCACAGCTGCTGGAAACCGGCTTCCTAACCACCGCGTGGTCCGCAGGGCGCGGCATCACCAGGTTAGTGGCGCGCAGGGGCCTGTGAGCGCAGGTGGGAGCTCACCACGGAGCGCCCAGGACTCTGGCTCTCGGGAGGGTGAAAGGGCTTTCTCAAAAGCGCGCGCGCGGAGCAGCTCTGCTAGGCACGCGCTGGCGCTCAGGAGTGCGGGCAGCAGAGCCGGAGCAAAGGTCAGTGTCCTCTCCAAACAAGTCTCCAGGGGCCGCAGGGTGAGCGTGCCTCGGGCTGTTCCTCAGGGAAGCGGCAGTGTCTCCCACCCACCCCGACTGGGCCAGGCCTTTTGTCCTGAATGTAGCTCAGGACTGAGTTTCCCAGGAAACACTCTCGCCAGGGTCCGCACGGGCAGTCAGGGAACACAGGCTAAGAAGACAAAACCAAACTGATTCTAAATGAACACCCGGAAGATCTACCATGCAAAAACGCACTGACTTCAATTAAAAAAAAAAAAAGGAAAGCAAGCTCTGTTTCAAGGACTGTGGCGTGTGGGTCCCGACTGGGCCCCATGGCCCTGGGGTCCTCCGCACCGCCCCAACTCCTCTCACTCAGCAACGACACCCCTCAATGCCAAGGGCCGAGGTCTGCGGGAGATGAAAACTTGACTGCACCAAGCTGGTTCCCCGGCGGCCCCTGACCAGCTGCAAGCCACGCAGCAAGCGTGGGCCGTGGCCTCCTCGCTGGTGTACGTGACACGGCCTCCAGGGACACACGTGACTCCGCTGACAGGGCCGAGACGGCAACCCCGAGGTACACGGGACCCTCGAGGCCGTGGGCAAGCAGAGCTCGGGAGCGAAGCAGGAAACTGCAGGAAGGAGGGCCGAAGGGAGCCACAGGAACTTTTAGCTACTCAAGGACTGGCACCTGCAGAGCCGCAGCCAACAGCGCTACTGAGAGGCCAGGGTGGGGTCTGGAGGCCAGGAAACCCCAGTGGGGGTAGAACGACACAGCAGTGACTGCCGCCACATCAACCCCTAAAACCAGTTTCTGCTCCAGCCGACGCAAGGCCCAGAGACCTCAGGGAGCAAAGTCTCACTGCGCTCATTGTGGCTTGAAGGGTGGAGTCCAGCTGGAAAGGGCTGGGGGCGCAGGGACACAGAAGGGCCTCAAGAACCTGGTTGCCAGCACAGGCAGGAGTGGTGGCGCCGGTGGCGTGGCCTGGGGGCCTACAGGCGGTGGGCAGGCCCGACGGGATGGGCTCCGGGAGGCAACTCTCCGACTCTCTGTGAAGAAGCTGAGTCACCAGAGATAGTGGTGCTGGGCATGGGGAGGACTTTGAGCTGGCGCCAGGGCCACGGGGAAGCACCCCTGGCCACACCTGGGCTCTCAGGAGCCCACCTGTGAGGAGGAGCAAGGGGCTGCGGGTGCGGAGACAGAACACAGCCCCTGGAAAGTGCCACGAAGAGCTGAGGAGGGAAAGCAGGGAGGGAGGCAGCAGTCGCAGGGCAGAGCGGATGTGGCCGGCAGTGGGGGCCTGGGGGTGCTGCTCAGAACACCTTGGGCGTGGAGTCAGGCCTGTAGACCGTGAGGAAGACGCAGGGCCAGGGGTACGAGGGCTCCTCAGAGGCTGACCAATGACGGTTTTGCACCCCTCAGACGCTATTTCCCTGCAAACCCTACATGTAGGACAGAGACGTAAATCCGTAAGGCCTGGGGGAACTGGTGACATCTCTACGCTGGAGGTGGAATCTGTAAATTTTGAAGGACTGAGACAATAGAGTGCCTCTTCAACCCCACCGCAAACACCCCAAATCCAGCGCCAGGCTCCCCCACTGACGCAGCCTCGCATCTGCCTCTGTTTCTATCAATGAAGGCCCAGCAGGGCTGACAGATGCCGGAGCCGACGCCAAGGCTCAGAGGGTTAAGTGGTGCCAGATCATTCACACCTGAGCTGTAGCAGGAACCAAGAAACACAAGTTTTCCCAAAAAACCACTGACAGCTGCTCCAGCAAGGCTCCCTGTTTTCAAAAATGCAAAAAAAAAAAAAAAAAAGGGGGGGGGAGGGCTCAAAATATTACTGTACTGTCTACAAATACAGTCTTTGTTAGAAGTAACGCGAACAGGTAACATTCACAGGAAAGAGGGAGACCAAGCGGAGCTTTTCTGGTTTAGTAAATTTTAAGTCTGCTGGAAAGTCAGACATCCCCGCGGGCTCCTCGGCGCCTCCCTTCTTCCGCGCACGGGCTGCGGCTGCCCCGCCCTGGCTTCTCCTTGCGGGTCGGCAGGCAGCACAGGTGCGCACGGGGCCCCAGACCTGGACCACACAGCCATGCGCTCGCGCCGTGGGCACAGGCAAGGCGGCCCCCACGCTGGCCACCCCCACACATGAATGGGAAGCCCCAAGAGCCCCACATGGGGTAGAGTGGGTGAGGCGCTGGCCACATGCTCTGCGGACAGCACGGCCCCGGGGCTGCCTGCACTCTGGGCTCCCGGTAAGAGAGGTGCGTGGCAGTTCTAGTTTCCATAATGAGAACCGGACAACTCAGCAAACCTCTACTGCATGTGAGTAAACGTAGAAAAGCAAGAGGAGGGGTGGGGTGGGGGTGGATTCCGGGAGCCCCCGCAGAACTGGGGAGCTGCTATTCCTGAGGATGGGCATGCACTGCCCAGGGAGCACCCCACCCACAAGCCCCACATCGCCAGGTCTCCAGAGTGGAGCTGACACATGCCAAGGAGCAGGAGCTGGCAGACCAGCGGGTGCTCGACACCACTTAGAATGAGGCTGGGAAGGTCCCGAGTGGAGAGTCAAGAGAGTTGTAAACTGGGCTAAATGTAAATGAGCCGCCGCCTGGACAGGGCAGGCTGCTCTGCCCCCGAGGCCGGGAGGTGCAGGCCTGAGGTCAGGTGCAACTGCTCGGTGAGGGCACGGGGCTCTGGGAGCCCGCCCGACTCTCCTGGGGCTTCTGGCCCTGGGACCCGCAGGTGGGGCTGCGAGGTGCTGTCCCAGGGCCTGGGTGCCAGTAGCCCGACTCCAAGCTGCTCCTGACTCAGCTCTTCCACCTGCTCTCCTCTCCCCAGACTTACAGGGGCGCAGGGTAAGGTAACAAAGTGTCAGGCTTTCCTGCCCTCCCACCATCAGGATGGATGACGGATCCCTGCGGTCCTGAATGCATGCCTGATGGCAGCACCTGGAGTGGGGTGTGGGCGTGTGTAGGTAGGTACACCTGGGCTGAGACGGGGCTTATAAGGGCGGCATCACGGTGA